GGAAATCCCATAAGAATCTCACAGAAATCCCATAGAACGATCATAGAAATAACATGGAAATCCCATAGGAATCTCACAGAAATCCCATAGAAAGATCATAGAAATAACATGGAAATCCCATAGGAATCTCACAGAAATCCCATAGAAAGATCATAGAAATAACATGGAAATCCCATAGGAACCTCACAGAAATCCCATAGAAAGATCATAGAAATAACATGGAAATCCCATAGGAATCTCACAGAAATCCCATAGGAAGATCATAGAAACATCATGGAAATACCTTGGAAATCCCACAGGAATCCAATAGAAATTCCATAGGAATCTAATAGAAATACCATAGAAACCCCATAGGAATCCAATGGAAATCCCATAAGAATACCATAGAACTCCCATAGCACCCCTTCAGAAATCCCATAGAAATCCTCCAGAAATATCCCATAGGAATTCCATAGAAATCCAATAGTAATACCATAGAAATACCATAAAAGAAAAAAACTTTAGCAAAGGAAAAGGTAAAGGGAATGCTTGAAAAAATCACACGAGGAAACATCTGGACACAATAGTGTACCCTCCAAACAAACCACACTATTGTGTATCAAGGTTGCTCATGGACTACCCCCTTGAAAAATTGTTTGAGTGATGTTTTTTTAATTGGGTTTTAATAAAGCATCATATATTTTGGGAAACTGGGCATTTCTGAGAATTTCAAATGAAAGAAACTAAGAAAGTAATTAAGTAATTCAAAGAAAAAAAACTTTAGCAAAGGAAAAGGTAAAGGAAATGATTGAAAAAATCAAAAAATCATGACCTCAGGAAAGCAGCTGGACACAATAGTGTACCCTCCAAACACCCCACACTATTGTGTACCAGGGCTGCTCATGGACTACCCCCTTGAAAAATTGTTTGAGTGATGTTTTTTAATTGGGTTTTAATAAGGCATGATATATTTTGGGAAACTTGTGATTTCTGAGAATTTCAAATGAAAGAAACTAAGAAAGAAATTAATTAAAAGGAAACCACTTTAGCTAGCAAAGGAAAAGGTAAAGGAAATGATTGAAAAAAAACAAAAAATCATGACCTCAGGAAGCAGCTGGACACGATAGTGTACCCTCAAACAAACCACACTATTGTGTATCAGGGTTGCTCATGGACTACCCCCTTGAAAAATTGTTTGAGTGATGTTTTTTAATTGGGTTTTAATAATATAAGGCATCATATATTTTGGGAAACTGGTAATTTCTGAGAATTTCAAATGAAAGAAACTAAGAAAGAAATTAATTGAAAGGAAGACACTTTAGCTAGCAAAGGAAAAGGTAAAGGAAATGATTGAAAAAAATCAAAAAAATCATGACCTCAGGAAAGCAGCTGGACACAATAGTGTACCCTCCAAACAAACCACACTATTCTGTATCAGGGTTGCTCATGGACTACCCCCTTGAAAAATTGTTTGAGTGATGTTTTTAATTGGGTTTTAATAAGGCATCATATATTTTGGGAAACTGGTCATTTCTGAGAATTTCAAATGAAAGAAACTAAGAAAGAAATTAATTGAAAGGAAAACACTTTAGCTAGCAAAAGAAAAGGTAAAGGAAATGATTGAAAAAATCAAAAAAATCATGACCTCAGGAAAGCAGCTGGACACAATAGTGTACCCTCCAAACAAACCACACTATTTTGTACCTGGATGTAATTTTCTGTGGAAGGCATCTGGAAAATTTCAATGATGGAAAATAAAAAGTAAAAGGAAAAAGCTTTAAAAAAATGAAAAAAATGAAAAATGTTTGAACAACAAAAAAAGACCAAGACACAATTGTGTATCTTGACACAATGACACAATTGTGTATCCTGACACAATTTTACAAAATAAAAATAATAAAACAAATAATTTAATATATAATTAAAAATAAAAATAATTAAATTATTTTTTTTTTATAATTAAAAATAAAAATAAAATAATAAATAAATAATTTAAAATAAAATAAAAAATAATTAAATTAAAAATTATTATAATTAATTAATTAAAAATAAAGATAAAAAATAATTTATAAAAATTATTATAATTTAAAAATAAAAATAAAAAATAATTTAAAACAAAATAAAAAAAATAAATTAAAAATTATTATAATTAAAAATAAAAATAATAAAATATTTTAAAATTTTAAAATAAAATAAACAACAATTAAAAACTAAAAAAATAAAAACAAATGAAAAAAAAACTTACACCAAAATCCTGTGGACACAAAACTGTACCCTCGATCATTTCCAAAGTTTCAGAATAATTTTGAGGTCTGTGGACACAATTCAGTATCCCCACACTAATCAGTATCCAACATTAGAGAATTATATATATATATGTGGATTTATAGTATATAGGATTTGGAAGGATTTGGTATTATGATGGGATTTTCAAACAAAGACTATGAGGAATATCATAGAATTTGGTGTGTTGTTATTCGTGAGGCCTGCCGCATTTTGTCTCTTGAACAGCTTCAGCTGCCAAAGTGCAAACAGACGATGTGCCTAATATGGCCAGGAAGTGGATCCTCCTGATTTAAATGTTGAAATGGTGCCACTATCCATACATTATTTGTATATACATTATCTGTATACATTGTCCCTAAACTTCTGTTTTTTTTGGTGTGGTCAGGTTGCTTAGTCTGGATTGTTTTCAGCTGTGGGGCGAGCAAAGGTGATCTCAAAACAACATATTATTCCATAGCAATCTCCCAAAGATGGCTTCCCAGTCTATACGCAACCAATATGAATTAATAATTAAAAAATGTTTTAATATGATCTCCTGCGTTAAACAAAACGTAAGCTGTTGCGCTGCTCAATGCCGCAATCTCTCCGCTGTGCCAAGCATGGCGGAAGTGACAATGCGATGGCAACGGCAGCAGTTTTGCTTTCGAGACCAAAAGTTTGAGGCCCCCGGCATGGTGCAATAAAAGGTTCCGGAAAATGACGGAAGTTGTAGAGCATTGAAGTCTTGTGAAAAGATGCATTAAGTCCATATCGCTTCACGCTAGAGTGCTGGGGAATGGGCCGAAATTGATTTCGGTTTCAAAACCAAGGAGCTGATCATGTTTTGGAATCCAAACCGTCTTTTTGTTGGGATCAACTACGTTTGATGCACGTTTGATGCACAGCCATATCAAGAAACTCGTGACTTTTGACGAAGCAAAGACTGTACTGGTTCTATATCCAAGATGATTCTTCTTATGTTAGACAACACAGTGTTGGCTTAAACTTTTGCAGAATGTAAACCATTGTAAAACAACGTTAAATCCACATAAATATCATAAATCCACATAAATCCACATTATCTCTGTTTAAATCCTCCACTTTTTTCCCTTCGGAGATGGGTAACCGACAGGTCGAACACTTCGATGTGGCCGAAGTGGAGTCCTCCTCTTCGGGCGAGGACGAGGAGTATCTTGGACCGGGGGGACCCAAGGGGGGAATCCGTTGGAGTCGGAGGGTGAGGGATTTCTGATGGTTTCTGCATATTTCCAGCTTTGAAAAAAGGGATGTAACTTGATGTAATGGAAAATTGGCATTTAGCCAAATAAAGATGCATGACCTTGCGGGACCTTGCTGGCCGGTCTGCATGTTTTGCTTTTGAGACCAAAAATGACTATATAGCTAGAGCATTAAAGTCTCATTTTAGATGCATAAAGTCCTAATATCATATCTTATACTCCACTGATTAGCCGCAATGGTTAGGGATGGGTCATAACAGATTTCAGCCTTGAAACCACCGAGGCGATCACATTTTGGAATCCACACCTGTGACTTTTGACTCAGCGAAGATTGCGTTGGTTCTATGAGTTCTATATCCAAGATTTTCTGACCCTTATGTTAAACAACACCGTGTTGGCTTCATTAATTTAAACAACATTAAAACAACACTAACTCTAAATCCATTATCGTTGTTTCAATCCTCCAGGTGGAGCACTTTGATGTGAAGTGGAGTCTCCCTCTTCCGGTGAGGAGTTTCTTGGACCTTCGGGATACTGAGCCATCACACATTGGGATTTAACCAGCGATAAGGATCTTCCTTGAATAATGGATTTGGGCTTGTTTCAAAATAGGGATACCCGCAAAATAACCATTAAAGTATGAGGAAAAGGGATTTCTAAACCGAGTGGATTTTGTGGTATTATTTGGTATACATATCATTTTCAGACAAGTCAGTTTCCGATGAATAATTTTCACTTTATGTCGTTGTTTGACGTTGCTGGTCAAACCGAATGGAAAGGGATGATGTTGCCATTGCCTTTGTTCTCTTTAAACAGTTAGCTCAACCACTAAGAAATCCGTAGATTTCTTTGCTGTTGATGTGAATTGCAGCGCTGCTTGACCCCTTGACCCCTTGAGGTTCATTCGCGTTGTTCCCCGGCCTTACAGGGCTCTGGCGACTGGGTTACTGGAGAAATATTGGAACAGGACATATTTCTACCCAATTTCCTCTAATAGGTTTTCCTCTTGCAACCGAGTTGGTTCATGTGTTTTTGACTCTTTTTGTTTACAATGGCACAATTCGTGTGCAATAAACGAGATCTTGAAGCATCTGTCCAGGATTGCGTATGCAAAGAAGCACCCACACAGAACGCATTGATGCTTGCAACGGAATTCGGGGTTGTAAACTGTGTGCCTGTTGAGATTTGGTATCATGTGGTATCATTTGGTATCACATCATTCTTTGGACAAAGATTTGCGGGGAGAAATGAACGCATGCTGCAGGCATTCCGGCTGGCAGACAGTCTCAAGGTCAAAAGGATCAGTTCAAGATTGCGTGGAGTTCAAAAAGCATGCATCAAACCACAGACATCAGTCTCATGGCATGTGGCCAGTAATTCATTTGGCAAACTGATTCAGCTGGCCTCGCAGTAGATTTGATGCTGAATGCAATTTTTGTGGTGCTTCTTCGGTTGAGTTTCTCATAGACCTTTTGCACAAAAGCTTGGCAAACTTGCTCCTTCAGTGGCCACTGCAATTTGAAAATTGCAATTTGAAAAGCAAAAGCCATGGGGGGGCAAGTTTCGACTGGTGACACCATGGAGACAGGTGACACCAGTGACCCGAGCCGCTTCTTTGGCAGTGCGACATACTTTGAAGGTCATCAACGTTTGGAGGCAACAGGCTACAGCTACGAAAATGCTTTGATCATCAAACATGAGCAGACAGGAATCAGAATGTGGGCGTGCGCCTTTGACTTGCGCGAGGATTCGGAACACAAAGGTCTACGTGATGGTGACAAAGTTCTCTATCACTACACAGATGAGGCATCATTTTTCCCAATCACAAGCCTCGAAGGTGCCAGGATCTGGGCGAACCCGGATGTAAACAACACGGATAGCTTCTTCGGTTTGGGTGTCTATGCTACTGAGAAAGCGCCTCACCAATGGAGATCAAAAGATGAAGTCCGTCTCAACAATTTCTACCCAACTCGCGAGAACTTTCTGACGTTCAGCGGCCAAGAGCTGCCGGAGGCCGAGGATGCCGATTTTGAAGCCCTCCTGGAAGGCACTGTTGGAAACTATGTCAAGGGCAAGTACCCAGGCAAGACGGACTACTGCATTCCCTTGATCGTGGATCAGCAGGTGTCCAAAAATGCAATGAAAGAAGTTACCGATGGCCCCTTGATGAGAAACCGTTCCTTTCATCTCGATCCTTAGCATTTTTACATTTCTAGGCTTTCTGAACAGTTTCCCACCTGAAGAAGTGTGTGATATGTTGTGAGAGCCTACGGCTTCCCTCTTCCAAGGTAAAAAAAGGCTCGCTGGATACAACTCCAAAGCTGAGAAACAGCCAACTTGGCGGGATGTTTGGGTCGTCTCAATCTACAACCAGACTCAAGAAACTTGATCAGATTCCGTAGTTTCTGTTTTTCATGACGAATCGTTCCACCAAAAGTACCCGCGTTCCCACAGTGGTTTGGGCTAGAGTTCTTCATCCTTCATCTTCAACCCTTTCGTACACGGCTCTACTGAGGACATTGTAATTGAGGTTGAAGATGCCAAGCTGAACTCCCCCAGCATCATCCAGATCCTGGGGCAGCGCCTCAAGAAGCTTTGACAGCAATATATTTATTTGACAACTTTATTCAAGAACACACCATTGACGCAAAATGGGTGCCCAGAAGATGTTATATTCATATGTTGTTCATGTTCACGCCAAACATGCATGTCGCTGCTGCAGGAAGCCAGGCAGCATTTCCGAGGTAAAATCCACAATCATTTATCATTGGCCCAGTGTAGTGTAGGAAATCGAGCGCGCAGAAAGCCACGCTCCAAATTGAACTAGTTTTAGGAAAAGTCTGTTCAATTCCACAACAAAATGTCTCAGAGTCGAACAACATGGTTTTAGTTGTCGCTGTAAAATTTCGACAAGTTTGCTGCCATCGGTTGTTTGCCAGCCTACCACCGGGTCGCCGCCTGCCTGCTGTACAATACATCGCTACTTCTTTTGGTGTGGGTTTTCCATGACAGCAAGTACTCCGAAAATGAAAAGCAAAACACTCTGAACATCATCCTCATGAACAAAAAGCATGGCTGTGTGTGGTCATGTGCATGGTTGGGTGAACAGGGTAGTTGATGCCAACATGGCACTATAGAATGTCGTTCCAGGGCCAACATATAAATTGCCAAAATTTAAATCCTGGTGCCAGTATGTTCAATACAAGAGCTTTGACGTGTTTAGCGGCTGGCCTCACAACATTAATATGTGACTCACAACATTACGTGGCTCGCTTTTGGACTCTATCTATTGCAAAACGGGGCCCCCGTTTTCGCACAATCGAAATAAACTTGCCGCACCATCACACAATAATTGCTGAACCAGTTTTCTTCACATGTCAAAATCTGTGATTGGATGGCCATTTGTTGCCATTGCACGAAATTGCATGAAGAACTGTAAGTCATTCAGGAAGTTTCGAACCAGTTCCGAGGTTGATTGGTGGTTTGTACATTGGAATGTGCATAGATATGTAGACTCTATAGACGTAAGTGGCTTGTGACGGGAAATCCCGAAACCGAGGAGGGAAAGAAGGAAGGGCTCTGCGATTGATAGTTGTGAGATCTTGATAGACACACTGAAAGGCCGGCGGTTGGAGCTTCCCCTGAAATGTTATTTCTCCAGCGATGAGATTTTCAACCTTGAAAAAGGCTACACATTCTTGTTTGTTGAATGATGCTTTGGGCTAAAAGTTGGGTGCTCCAATTTCGTATGACATTGAAGATTTTAGCATGGGCTGGCGGCTGCAGGCCCCCGTTTGCACTGACTGCACCGGCACTGCGAACATGGCAATCCTCACATTTTCTCCTCTTGGGTCCCACGGCGTCCCCTGAAAAATAGATATCCCAATGCAAGGAGTCAAATCACCCCCGAAACACTCGGCTCAGCTGAGGAGCGACCGTGACGTTCAGGATTTGGTCAAGTATAAGCTGTTGAACTACAAGCACATTTGCAGAGACCTCCTTCAAAGAGTCATCGAACATAATCCTGCAGATTCACATGTGTACAACAACCTGGGCACTCTGCTGTCGGCCGGCGAGGTGATCCAGGTGCAGCTGCAAGGTGGGTCCAGGGAGTTTACCGAGAAAGGTCTGTTCTTGGAGTCCATCAGGCTGGACAACGGCAATGCACCTGCATACAACAACCTGGGCGTTCTGCTGTCGGCCAGCGAGGTGATCCAGGTGCAGCTGCAAGGTGGGTCCAGGGAGTTTACCAAGAAAGGTCTGTACTTGGAGACCATCAGGCTGGACAACGGCTATGCACCTGCATACAGCAACCTGGGCGTTCTGCTGTCGGCCAGCGAGGTGATCCAGGTGCAGCTGCAAGGTGGGTCCAGGGAGTTTACCGAGAAAGGTCTGTTCTTGGAGTCCATCAGGCTGGACAACGGCAATGCACATGCATACAACAACCTGGGCTCATTGCTGTCGGCCGACGAGGTGGTCCAGGTGGAGCTGCAAGGTGGACCCAGGGAGTTCACCAAGAAAGATCTGTACTTGGAGTCCATCAGGCTGGACAACGGCCATGCAGAGGCATACTTCAACCTGGGCACTCTGCTGTCGACCGACGAGGTGATCCAGGTGCAGCTGCAAGGTGGACCCAGGGAGTTCACCCAGAAAAATCTGTTCTTGGAGGCCATCAGGCTGGACAACGGCAATGCAAAGGCATACTTCAACCTGGGAACTCTGCTGTCGGCCGACCAGGTGATCCAGGTGGAGCTGCAAGGTGAGTCCAGGGAGTTTACCGAGAAAGATCTGTACTTGGAGTCCATCAGGCTGGACAACGGCCATGCACGTGCATACTTCAACCTGGGCACTCTGCTGTCGGCCGACCAGGTGATCCAGGTGGAGCTGCAAGGTGAGTCCAGGGAGTTTACCAAGAAAGGTCTGTACTTGGAGTCCATCAGGCTGGACAACGGCCATGCACGTGCATACTACAACCTGGGCAGACTGCTGTCGGCCGACGAGGTGATCCAGGTGCAGCTGCAAGGTGGATCCAGGGAGTTCACCAAACAGCAGCTCCTTTTATGGCGTGCCTGACCTGATCAGACCTGAGAATGCGGTAGCAAAACTCAAATGATGTAGTCGTATTTGCTTTTGATGGCTGAAGATCAACCCTTGACTTCATGGGAAAGTGACCACAAATGCACAATGATCTTCGCATGCACATTCCTTTTCGCTGAAAAAGATGTCACATGGGGCATGGGACCGTCAATAAAGGACTTCAGCGGGAAACCGCGAAATTTGGTTTGTTGATACAGTATTTGTTTTAAACTTACCATTCATTAGCTGCTTAGCTAGCACGGTCTGTGGGTCCCAATTGCATGGTCACTTTGATCCCGGATGTCACTGTGCATTCGGAATGCCCTGCGTTCCTGGACGTGGAAAATCCGCATAAATTACCTTTAGGGTGCTCCGTAAATCCAAAAAACCAGATGCAAAGCAAACCTCTGCAATCTCCATGCTGCTTGATTGTTTGAAGGAGTAAATCTTGTCCACCTTATTTGGGATCCAAATTGACGAGCATACCGTGATTGCTGGGATGGTTTATTGTTGGGCACCAGTACTTGAAGTGTCCCGACATGATTCCCAGATTTCCCCTTGCAACATGCGAAACAACCATCAAAATCAATACCAAACCAACTTTAGATATCATGTCCACCCTCTTTCACAATTCCACTCCGATCTTGAAACCTTGTTGATTTTCCCATGAATTCACAAACACAATTCTGATATGTCCGTATGTTTCGCTTTTTTCCCGTGGTTTTCCCTATGACTTCAGCCCCTTTTCCCCCCATCCGCGCCGTTGGATCCTCCGCGCACTCCGAGGGCGAGACGGCCAACGTGGTGATGCCGGACGAGATCACGGAGCCGCGCTTCCTGCAGGACTGGAAACAGGAGATCCTCGAAGTGGCCGAAGCTCGATGGAAACATCGTTGGTGGGGGCTTAGGTGGGGATAGGGTGCCCCAATAGCTGGATGGTTTATAATGGAAAATCCTGTTAAAATGGACGATTTGGGGGTACCACCATTTTAGGAAACCTCCAAATGTTGTGTTGAAGAGTGGATTCTCTCAGCAAGTCTGAGATTCACTTGAAGAATCATGAAGATATATAGCTAATGTCGCATATGTTTTGGGACTTGTTTAGTATAGCTAGGATTGTCGGCAAGTGTGTGTGTGTGTGTTTACAATCATGATGTATTTGGGAGGCATTTGGGTATACCAGTGACAACAAATATCAACAAAAAATAGGTTGCTTCGGCGATGCCTCTTTTTGTTTCGGGGATAGATGGTCGGGGCAACACATGTCCCACAACGGGGGATCAACCTGTTTTTTGGCAGCTGTTTAAGAGTCGATATTATCGGTTGGCAAGTTGCCTGGTTTTCCCATTACTTATGCCTCTGATCTTAATTGTTCAGTTAAATTTCTATCAAGTGCGCGTTATTCCCCGTGGAACCCATATGAGCCACAAAACTCTGGCAGGAAACATGCAAGGGACGGACATTGATTTTCGGAATGCAAACGTGAGGTATCATGAGCGATGGGACCTTCCCAAATCGCCCTCCTGTCATATCATCTACTATCATCTACTATCATCTACTATCATCTATATATCATCTATATATCATCTATATATCATCTATATATCATCTATATATCATCTATATATCATCTATATCATCTATATATCATCTATATCATCTATTCATATCTATTCAATGTATAGAATCACTGGTCAAATAGGCTTGGTTGCAGCTCCCCGGCACTGGCACTCCAGGCCGCTCCCTTCCTCCAGAAGCCCTTGGACATGGCGAAGGCTGATGATTTTACCCAACACGGTGATCTAATGGAATTTCATGAGGAAATTGGGATATACGATTATACACATAGGATACATAGGATAGAAGATAAACTACAGTAATGATTTATAAAATTGGGATTTAACTGGTGCTCTCATGGGATATTCTCCTAACAGAGAGTAGAGTTGGGCATCCCAAACTGTGTTTGGACTATGATCCCCATGGGTGTTGAATCCACCGATGCCGCCAGGGTTGGTTTCAGCCGCAAGCCTGACGGCGATAGGATTTCATCAGCAATAACTCTGCGTTGTTCAAGTCATTGGGTATCAAATTTCATGCTATACAAGACATTGGCAACCAATCAGTGGCTTGATGGGCGATGAGGAAAACACTTGTATGGCTTTGTAACCCACAAAAAACCACCAGTTTTGGGGGATTTGGCAATGAAAGAACAACTTGGACTTTATGGCTGAAAGATGGCAGCCCCAGCTTCATGAAATCGTTAAGCTCTGCACAGTCACCGTGACATTTTGCCAGTCCGGCTGTGATGTTTCTCTCACAGAGGGCCGGACGATCCCTTGCTCAGAGTCTGCGAAAAATGCTGCAACGCAATGATTTGACTTCTGGTAGTTCTGCCTGTCACCTGCAAGCCCCCAAAGCTGTGCTTGAAACCGTTTGAAAACAAGAAATTGCCATTTTAGGCTTCCTTAAATGGTGATACTCAGACACAGTGAGAGTCATGAAAGGCAGTCGTGACTCTGAGCTGCATGGGACATCTTGGGACTGAAGCCACAGGGAGAAGTCCCCCGTAAATGTGACACAAGTACACAAGTCCAATCTGCTGTGCTGTGCAGCGGTTGGGTCAACAGACTCCCGGCGACGTGACGCACACGGTGCGCTTTCGCGTCAAGGGTATCTCTTTTGCAGTGCGTAAAATGCAAGGTTGGTGGGTTGTCGATTGCTGAGTTGCTTGCTTTCAGAGTTTGGAGGATTAGCCAGACGCCGGGAAAACACAATGAAGATGGTTGCAGATATTCCTTGTTTCTTTTATGTGTTTGTCCATCTTTATACGAAATAGTTAAATCCAAGTGTTTTTTCTTTGGGGACCGCTTCAAAGTATAAACAGATGCATCATTTTGATTTATTTTAGTGTCCAGTGCGATATGAGACCACTCCCAAAAACAATACCTCATGATGCATCTTGTAATATCTGTCTGTGCTTTGGGGCTCTGTTGGCATCTGCAAATATCCAATTTCGGCACCAACAAAGTATGAATCAGACAAATGGTAGCAACTCCCTCGATAAAACATCAAATCAGCCAATTATATGGGCTTAAAGCCCGCAAACATGTCGTTCTTGGAAGCTTGAATGTAAGGGAACTGCCATCCGCTTGGACCGAGTCACAGTATCTGATGATACGTTCGGCGTTCGATCATGTCGATGAGATGATTTACCACATGATCATCGCCAGCGGGGGGGAAAAACCAGATGACCATTGCATTGTCACGATGGCCACTATGATTTTGGCAATGGTGATTTAAAAAAAAGAGAATTATATAATATTATATACGTTGATTTATAGTATATAGGATTTGGAGGGATTTGGTATTATGATGGGAATTTCAAACAAAGACTATTGAGGAATATCAGAGAATTTGGTGTGTTGTTCATGAGGCATGCCGCATTTTGTCTCTTGAACAGCTTCAGCATGCTTCAGCTGCCAAAGTGCAAACAGACGATGTGCCCAATATGGCCAGGAAGTGGATCCTCCTGATTTAAATGTTGAAATAGTGCCACTATCCATACATTATTTGTATACATTATCTGTATATAATCTCTAAACTTCCGTTTTTTTGGTGTGGTCAGGTTGCTTAGTCTGGATTGTTTTCAGCTGTGGGGCGAGCAAAGGTGATCTGAAAACAACATGTTATTCCGTAGCAATCTCCCAAAGATGGCTTCCCAGTCTACACGTAACCACTATGAATTATAACCCATAGAATCCATGTATGCTATATATTGTAACATTTACCATCAATATACCCCCAATGTTAGCATATATACCATTATACCATACATGGATCCTATGGGTATTAATGTGAATCAATATGATCTCCTGCGTTAAACAAAACGTAAGCTGTTGCGCTGCTCAATGCCGCAATCTCTCCGCTGTGCCAACCATGGCGGAAGTGACAATGCGATGGCAGCGGCAGCAGTTTTGCTTTCGAGACCAAAAGTTTGAGGCACTCGGCATGGTGCAATAAGATGCAGTAAGAGGCTCCGGAAAATGACGGAAGTTGTAGAGCATTGAAGTCTTGTGAAAAGATGCATTAAGTCCATATCTTTTTTTACTCCACGCTCGAGTGCTGGGGGATGGGCCGAAATTTATTTCGGCAAACCACAGAGCTGATCATGTTTTGGAATCCAAACCGTGTTTTTGTTGGGATAAACTACGTTTGATGCACGTTTGATGCACAGCCATATCAAGAAACTCGTGACTCTTGACAAAGCAAAGACTGTACTGGTTCTATATCCAAGATGATTCTTCTTATGTTAGACAACACAGTGTTGGCGTAAACTTTTGCACAAAGTAAAGCATTGTAAAACAACGTTAAATCCACATAAATCCACATTATCTCTGTACTGTAAATCCTCCATTTTTTTCCCTTCGGAGATGGGTAGCCGACAGGTGGAACACTTCGATGTGGCCGATGTGGAGTCCTCCTCTTCGGGCGAGGACGAGGAGTATCTTGGACCTTTTGGGGTCGGAGGGTGAGGGATTTCTGATGGTTTCTGCATATTTCGAGCTTTGAAAAAAGGGATGTAATAACTTGATGTAACCATGGAAAATTATGGAAAATTGGGATTTAGCCAAATAAGGATATTTATTTCCTTGAAGAATGGATTTGGGTTTGTCTGAAACGAATACTGTAGTCCAAGAGTCAAGTGTTGCGGGACCTTGCTGGCCGGTCTGCATGTTTTGCTTTCGAGACCAAAAGTTTGAGGCATGGTGTAGGAAGAGGTTCACGAAAATGCATAGCTAGAGCATTAAAGTCTCATTTTAGATGCATTAATTCCATATCATATCTTTTACTCCACCGATTAGCCGAAATGGTTGGGGATGGGTCATAACAGATTTCGGCCTTGAAACCATCGAGGCGATCACATTTTGGAATCCACACCTTGACAGAAGTCTCGTGACTTTTGACTAAGCGAAGATTGCATTGGTTCGTCTATATCCAAGATTTTCTGACCCTTATGTTAAACAACACCGTGTTGGCTTCATTTTTTTCTAAATCTAAATCCATGATCTTTGTTTCAATCCTCCAGGTGGAGCACTTTGATGTGAAGTGGAGTCCTCCTCTTCCGGTGAGGAGTTTCTTGGACCTTGGGGATACCTAGCCACAGCCATCACAAATTGGGATTTCACCAGCGATAAGGATCTTCCTTGAATAATGGATTTGGGTTTGTTCCAAAATAGGGATACCCGCAAAATAACCATTAAACTATAGAGGAAAAGGGTGTTCTAAACCGAGGGGATTTTGTGGTATTATTTGGTACATATCATTTTCAGACAAGTCAGTTTCCGGATGAATAATGTGGAAGAAAGTCGTGGTGAAGATAAACTGATGATGTGGAATGATGTACATCGTGTATTTGTTTCATTTGAGTGCGCTTTATGGATCTTAATGGCTGAACAAATCATGACAGGGAATCTGGCTGGAAAGAAACACGGTTCTTAGAAAAAATGTGAAAAACGACTGTAATCCAAGAGTCAGCTGTTGGGTTGCTCCAATCGCGCGTCCATGTGATTCCATCCTTCACTTTATGTCGTTGTTTGACGTTGCTGGTCAAACCGAATGGAAAGGGATGATGTTGCCATTGCCTTTGTTCTCTTGGAACAGTGAGCTCAACCAGAAATCCGTAGAATCTCTTTGCTGTTGATGTGAATTGCAGCGCTGCTTGACCCCTTGACCCCTTGAGGTTCATTCGCTTTGTTCCCCGGCCTTACGGGGCTCTGGCGACTGGGTTACTGGAGAAATATTGGACCAGGACATATTTCCACCCAATTCGTGTGCAATACCCGAGATCTTGAAGCATCTGTCCAGGATTGCGTATGCAAAGAAGGACTCACACAGAACGCATTGATGCTTGCAACGGAAGGGGTTGTGAATTGTGTGCCGGTTGAGATTTGGTATCATGTGGTATCATTTGGTATCACATCATTCTTTGGACAAAGATTTGCGGGGAGAAATGAACGCATGCTGCAGGCATTCCGGCTGGCAGACAGTCTCAAGGTCAAAAGGATCAGTTCAAGATTGCGTGGAGTTGAAAAAGCATGCATCAAACCACAGACATCAGTCTCATGGCATGTGGCCAGTAATTCATTTGGCCAACTGATTTATATATAGCTGGCCTCGCAGTAGATTTGATGCTGAATGCAATTTTTGTGGTGCTTCTTCGGTTGAGTTTCTCATAGACCTTTAGCACAAAAGCTTGGCAAACTTGCTCCTTCAGTGGCCACTGCAATTTGAAAATTGCAATTTGAAAAGCAAAAGCCATGGGGGGGCAAGTTTCGACTGGTGACACCATGGAGACAGGTGACACCAGTGACCCGAGCCGCTTCTTTGGCAGTGCGACATACTTTGAAGGTCATCACCGTTTGGGTGCAACAGGCTACAGCTACGAAAATGCTTTGATCATCAAACATGAGCAGACAGGAATCAGAATGTGGGCGTGCGCCTTTGACTTGCGCGAGGATTCGGAACACAAAGGTCTACGTGATGGTGACAAAGTTCTCTATCACTACACAGATGAGGCATCATTTGTCCTGATTACCAGCCTCGAAGGTGCCAGGATCTGGACGAACCCGGATGTAAACAACACAGATAGTTTCTTCGGTTTGGGTGTCTATGCTACTGAGAAAGCGCCTCACCAATGGAGATCAAAAGATGAAGTCCGTCTCAACAATTTCTACCCAACTCGTCAAAACTTTCGGACGTGGAGCGGCCAAGAGCTGCCGGAGGCTGAGGATGCCGATTTTGAAGCCCTCCTTAAAGGCACTGTTGGAAACTATGTCAAGAACAAGTACCCAGGCAAGACGGACTACTGCATTCCCTTGATCGTGGATCAGCAGGTGTCCAAAAATGCAATGAAAGAAGGTACCGATGGCCCCTTGATGAAAAACCGTTCCTTTCATCTCGATCCTTAGCATTTTTGCATTTCTAGGCTTTCTGAACAGTTTCCCACCAGAAGAAGTGTGTGATATGTTGTGAGAGCCTACGGCTTCCCTCTTCCAAGGTAAAAAAAGGCTCGCTGGATACAACTCCAAAGGTGAGAAACAGCCAACTTGGCGGGATGTTTGGGTCGTCTCAATCTACAACCAGACTCAAGAAACTTGATCAGATTCCGTAGTTTCTGTTTTTCATGACGAATCGTTCCACCAAAAGTATCCGCGTTCCCACAGTGGTTTGGGCTAGAGTTCTTCATCCTTCATCTTCAACCCTTTCGTACACGGCTCTACTGAGGACATTGTAATTGAGGTTGAAGATGCCAAGCTGAACTCCCCCAGCATCATCCAGATCCTCGGGCAGCGCCTCAAGAAGCTTTGACAGCAATATATTTATTTGATATAACTTTATTCAAGAACACACCATTGACGCAAAATGGGTGCCCAGAAGATGTTATATTCATATGTTGTTCATGTTCACGCCAAACATGCATGTCGCTGCTGCAGGAAGCCAGGCAGCATTTCCGAGGTAAAATCCACAATCATTTATCATTGGCCCAGTGTAGTGTAGGAAATCGAGCGCGCAGAAAGCCACGCTCCAAATTGAACTAGTTTTAGGAAAAGTCTGTTCAATTCCACAACAAAATGTCTCAGAGTCGAACAACGTGGTTTTAGTTGTCGCTGTAAATTTTCGACAAGTTTGCTGCCATCGGTTGTTTGCCAGCCTACCACCGGGTCGCCGCCTGCCTGCCGTACAATACATCGCTACTTCTTTTGGTGTGGGCTTAGTACTCCGAAAATGAAAAGCAAAACACTCTGAACATCATCCTCATGAACAAAAAGCATGGCTGTGTGTGGTCATGTGCATGGTTGGGTGAACAGGGTGGTTGATGCCAACATGGCACTATAGAATGTCGTTCCAGGGCCAACATATAAATTGCCAAAATTTAAATCCTGGTGCCAGTATGTTCAATACAAGAGCTTTGACGTGTTTAGCGGCTGGCCTCACAACATTAATATGTGACTCACAACATTACGTGGCTCGCTTTTGGACTCTATCTATTGCAAAACGGGGCCCCCGTTTTCGCACAATCGAAATAAACTTGCCGCACCATCACACAATAATTGCTGAACCTGTTTTCTTCACATGTCAAAATCTGTGATTGGATGGCCATTTGTTGCAATTGCACGAAATTGCATGAAGAACTGTAAGTCATTCAGGAAGTTTCGAACCAGTGCCGAGGTTGATTGGTGGTTTGTACATTGGAATGTGCATAGATATGTAGACGTAAGTGGCTTGTGACGGGAAATCCCGAAACCGAGGAGGGAAAGAAGGAAGGGCTCTGCAATTGATAGTTGTGAGATCTTGATAGACACACTGAAAGGCCGGCGGTTGGAGCTTCCCCTGAAATGTTATTTCGTGATCACCAGCGATGAGATTTTCAACCTTGAAAAAGGCTACACATTCTTGTTTGTTGAATGATGCTTTGGGCTAAAAATATCTATTTCGTATGACATTGAAGATTTTCGCATGGGCTGGCGGCTGCAGGCCCCCGTTTGTACTGACTGCACCGGCACTGCGAACATGGCAATCCTCACATTTTCTCATGTTTTTCAACTTCGTTTTACCTTGTTCAAGACCATTCAATCCCTCTTGGGTCCCACGTCCCCTGAAAAATAGATATCCCAATGCAAGGAGTCAACTCACCCCCTAAACGCTCGGCTCAGCTGAGGAGCGACCGTGACGTTCAGAATTTGGTCAAGTACAATCTGTTCGACTACAAGCACCTTTGCAGAGACCTCCTTCAAAGAGTCATAGAACATGATCCTGCAGATTCACATGCGTTTCACAACCTGGGCACTCTGCTGTCGGCCGACGAGGTGATCCAGGTGCAGCTGCAAGGTGGATCCAGGGAGTTTACCCAGAAAGATCTATTCTTGGAGTCCATCAGGCTGGACAACGGCTATGCACTTGCATACTACAACCTGGGCTTTTTGCTGTCGGCCGACGAGGTGATCCAGGTGCAGCTGCAAGGTGGATCCAGGGAGTTTACCAAGAAAGGTCTGTACTTGGACTCCATCAGGCTGGACAACGGCCATACACGTGCATACTTCAACCTGGGCACTCTGCTGTCGGCCGACGAGGTGATCCAGGTGCAGCTGCAAGGTGGATCCAGGGAGTTTACCCAGAAAGATCTATTCTTGGAGTCCATCAGGCTGGACAACGGCTATGCACTTGCATACTACAACCTGGGCTTCTGCTGTCGGCCGACGAGGTGATCCAGGTGCAGCTGCAAGGTGGATCCAGGGAGTTTACCAAGAAAGACTCTGTACTTGGAGCTCCATCAGGCTGGACAACGGCTATGCATATGCATACAATTACCTGGGCACTCTGCTGTCGGCCGACGAGGTGATCCAGGTGCAGCTGCAAGGTGGACCCAGGGAGTTTACCAAGAAAGATCTGTACTTGGAGTCCATCAGGCTGGACAACGGCGATGCACTTGCATACTACAACCTGGGCACTCTGCTGTCGGCCGACGAGGTGATCCAGGTGCAGCTGCAAGGTGGACCCAGGGAGTTCACCAGGAAAGATCTATACTTGGAGTCCATCAGGCTTGACAACGGCTACGCACATGCATACAACAACCTGGGCTTTTTGGTGTCGGCCGACGAGGTGATCCAGGTGCAGCTGCAAGGTGGATCCAGGGAGTTTACCAAGAAAGATCTGTACTTGGAGTCCATCAGGCTTGACAACGGCTGTGCACAGGCATACCACAACCTGGGCACTCTGCTGTCGGCCGACGAGGTGATCCAGGTGCAGCTGCAAGGTGGATCCAGGGAGTTTACCAAGAAAGGTCTGTACTTGGAGTCCATCAGGCTTGACAACGGCTACGCACATGCATACAACAACCTGGGCACTTTGCTGTCGGCCGACGGGGTGATCCAGGTGCAGCTGCAAGGTGGATCCAGGGAGTTTACCCAGAAAGATCTATTCTTGGAGTCCATCAGGCTGGACAACGGCTATGCACATGCATACTTCAACCTGGGCTTATTGCTGTCGGCCGACGAGGTGATCCAGGTGCGGCTGCAAGGTGGATCCAGGGAGTTTACCAAGAAAGGTCTGTACTTGGAGTCCATCAGGCTGGACAACGGCTATGCACGTGCATACAACAACCTGGGCACTCTGCTGTCGGCCAGCGAGGTGATCCAGGTGCAGCTGCAAGATGGGCTTCGAGAGTTTACCAAAGAGGAGCTTCTAGTATGGTGTGCCTGACCTGATTAGATCTGAGAATGCGGTAGCAAAACTCAAATGATGTAGTCGTATTTGCTCTTGATGGCCGAAGATCAACCCTTGACTTCATGGGAAAGTGACCACAAATGCACAATGATCTTCGCATGCACATTCCTTTTCGCTGAAAAAGATGTCACATGGGGCATGGGACCGTCAATAAAGGACTTCAGCGGGAAACCGCGAAATTTGGTTTGTTGATACAGTAATTTGTTTTAAACTCACCATTCATTAGCTGCTTAGCTAGCACGGTCTGTGGGTCCCAATTGCATGGTCACTTTGATCCCGGATGTCACTGTGTATTCGGAATGCCCTGCGTTCCTGGACGTGGAAGATCCGCATAAATTACCTTTAGGGTGCTCCGTAAATCCAAAAAACCTGATGCAAAGCAAACCTATGCAATCTCCATGCTTGATTGTTTGAAGGAGTAATTCTTGTCCACCTTATTTGGGATCCAAATTGACGAGCATACCGTGATTGCAGGGATGGTTTATTTTTGGGCACCAGTACTTGAAGTGTCCCGAAATGATTCCCAGATTTCCCCTTGAAACATGCGAAACCACCATCAAAATCAATACCAAACCAACTTTAGATATCATGTCCACCCTCTTTCACCATTCCACTCCAATCTTGAAACCCTGTTGATTTTCCATGATTTTCCCATGAATTCACAAACACAATTCTGATCTTTCCGTATGTTTCACGCTTTTCCCGTGGTTTTCCCTATCACTTCAGCCCCTTTTCCCCCCATCCGCGCCGTTGGATCCTCCGCGCACTCCGAGGGCGAGACGGCCGAGGTGGTGATGCCGGACGAGATCACCGAGCCGCGCTTCCTGCAGGACTGGAAACAGGAGATCCTCGAAGTGGCCGAAGCTCGATGGAAACATCGTTGGTGGGGGCTTAGGTGGGGATAGGGTGCCCCAATAGCTGGAAAATCCTGTTAAAATGGATGATTTGGAGGTACCACCATTTTAGGAAACCTCCAAGTGTTGTGTTGAAGAGTGGATTTTCTCAGCAAGTCTGAGACTCACTTGAAGAATCATGAAGACATATAACGAATGTCGCATATGTTTTGGGATTTGTTTAGCTAGGACGGCAAGTGTGTGTGTTTACAATATTTTACAATCATTATCAATCATTGGTATTTGGGAGGCATTTGGGTATACCAGTGACAACAAATATCAACAAAAAATAGGTTGCTTCGGCGATGCCTCTTTTTGTTTCGGGGGCAGATGGTCGGGGCAACACATGTCCCACAACGGGGAATCAACCTGGTTTTTTGCAGCTGTTTAATTAAGAGTCGATACTATCGGTTGGCAAGTTGCCTGGTTTTTCCCATTACTTATGCCTCTGATCTTAATGTTTCAGTTAAATTTCTATCAAGTGCGCGTTATTCCCCATGGAACCCATATGAGCCACAAAACTCTGGCAGGAAACATGCAAGGGACGGACATTGATTTTCGGAATGCAAACATGAGGTATCATAAGCGATGGGACCTTCCCAAATCGCCCTCCTGTCATCTACTATCATCTAAATCATCAAACTCATCTACTATCATCTACTATCATCTGCTATCATCTAAATATCATCTATGATCATCTATTCATATCCATTGAATGTATAGAACCACTGGTCAAAATAGGCTTGGTTGCAGCTACCCGGCACCGGCACTCCAGGTCGCTCCCTTCCTCCAGAAGCCCTTGGACATGGCGAAGGCGAGTGATTTCACCCAACACGGTGATCTAAGATTTGGGATATAAGATAAACTACAGTGTTGCTGGGTGAAATCATGGTGAACTCAAATTATTTAATGATTAATTCATGTGATTTAACTGGTGCTCTAATGGGATATTCTCCTAACAGAGATTAGAGTTGGGCATCCCAAACTGTGTTTGGATCGTATGATCCCCATGGGTGTTGAATCCACCGATGCCGCCAGGGTTGGTTTCAGCCGCAAGCCTGAGGGCGATAGGATTTCATCAGCAATAACTCTGCGTTGTTCAAGTCATGTTTTATCAAATTTCATGCTATACAAGACATTGGCAACCAATTAGTGGCTTGATGGGCGATGAGGAAAACACTTGTATGGCTTTGTAACCCCCAAAAAACAAGCAGTTTTGGGGGATTTGGCAATGAAGCAACAACTTGGACTTTATGGCTGAAAGATGGCAGCCCCAGCTTGAAATCGTTAAGCTCTGCACAGTAGTCACCATGACATTTTGCCAGTCCGGCTGTGATGTTTCTCTCACAGAGGGCCGGACGATCCCTTGCTCAGAGTCTGCGAAAAATGCTGCAACGCAATGATTTGACTTCTGGTAGTTCTGCCTGTCACCTGCAAGCCCCCAAAGCTGTGCTTGAAACCGTTTGAAAACAAGAAATTGCCATTTTAGGCTTCCTTAAATGGTGATACTCAGACACAGTGAGAGTCATGAAAGGCAGTCGTGACTCTGAGCTGCATGGGACATCTTGGGACTGAAGCCACAGGGAGAAGTCCCCCGTAAATGTGACACAAGTACACAAGTCCAATCTGCTGTGCTGTGCAGCGGTTGGGTCAACAGACTCCCGGCGACGTGACGCACACGGTGCGCTTTCGCGTCAAGGGTATCTCTTTTGCAGTGCGCAAAATGCAAGGTTGGTGGGTTGTCTATTGCTGAGTTGCTTGCTTTCAGAGTTTGGAGGTATTTTTAGAAGCCGGGAAAACAAAATGAAGATGGTTCCAGATATTCCTTGTTTCTTTTATGTGTTTGTCCATCTTCATACGAAATAGTTATATCCAAGTGTTTTTTCTTTGGGGGCCGCTTCAAAGTATAAACAGATGCATCATTTTGATTTATTTTAGTGTCCAGTGCGATATGAGACCACTTCCGAAAACAATACCTCATGATGCATCTTGTAATATCTGTGCTTTGGGGCTCTGTTGGCATCTGCAAATATCCAATTTCGGCACCAAACCAGCCAATTACATGGGCTTAAAGCCCGCAAACATGTCGTTCTTTGAAGCTTGAATGTAAGGGAACTGCCATCCGCTCGGACCGGTCGTCACAGTATCTGATGATACGTTCGGCGTTCGATCATGTCGATGAGATGATTTACCACATGATCATCGCCAGCGGGGGGTTATACCAGATGACCATTGCATTGTCACGATGGCCACTATGATTTTGGCAATGGTGATTATATATAGAGAATTTTATATTTGTGGATTTATATAGTATATATAGGATTTGGAAGGATTTGTTATTATGATGGGATTTTCAAACAAAGACTATTGAGGAATATCAGAGAATTTGGTGTGTTGTTCATGAGGCATGCCGCATTTTGTCTCTTGAACAGCTTCAGCATGCTTCAGCTGCCAAAGTGCAAACAGACGATGTGCCCAATATGGCCAGGAAGTGGATCCTCCTGATTTAAATGTTGAAATAGTGCCACTATCCATACACTATTTGTATACATTATCTGTATATTATCCCTAAACTTATGTTTTTTTTTTGGTGTGGTCAGGTTGCTTAGTCTGGATTGTTTTCAGCTGTGGGGCGAGCAAAGGTGATCTCAGAACAACATGTTATTCCGTAGCAATCTCCCAAAGATGGCTTCCCAGTCTACACGCAACCAATATGAATTATAACCCATAGGATCCATGTATGCTATATATGGTAACATTTACCATCACTATACCCCCAATAGCATATATACCATTATACCATATTATACCGTACATGGATCCTATGGGTATTAATATGAATTAATATGATCTCCTGCGTTAAACAAAACGTAAGCTGTTGCGCTGCTCAATGCCGCAATCTCTCCGCTGTGCCAACCATGGCGGAAGTGACAATGCGATGGCAGCGACAGCAGTTTTGCTTTCGAGACCAAAAGTTTGAGGCACTCGTCACGGTGCAATAAGAGGTTCCGGAAAATGACGGAAGTTGTAGCGCATTGAAGTCTTGTGAAAAGATGCATTAAGTCCATATTTTTTTTACTCCACGCTAGAGTGCTGGGGGATGGGCCGAAATTTATTTCGGCAAACCACAGAGCTGATCATGTTTTGGAATCCAAACCGTGTTTCTGTTGGGATAAACTACCTTTGATGCACGTTTGATGCACAGCCAAATCAAGAAACTCGTGACTTTTGACGAAGCAAAGACTGTGATTACTGATTCTATGTCTAAGATGATTCTTCTTATGTTAGACAACACAGTGTTGGTGTAAACTTTTGCACAAAGTAAAGCATTGTAAAACAACGTTAAATCCACATAAATCCACATTATCTCTGTACTGTAAATCCTCCATTTTTTTCCCTTCGGAGATGGGTAGCCGACAGGTGGAACACTTCGATGTGGCCGAAGTGGAGTCCTCCTCTTCGGGCGAGGACGAGGAGTATCTTGGACTCCGTTGGGGTCGGAGGGTGAGGGATTTCTGATGGTTTCTGCATATTTCGAGCTTTGAAAAAAAGGGATGTAACTTGATGTAACCATGGAAAATTGGGATTTAGCCAAATAGGTGAAGAATGGATTTGGGTTTGTCTGAAACGAATACTGTCGTCCAAGAGTCAAGTGTTGCGGGACGTTGCTGGTCGGTCTGCATGTTTTTTTCTGATTCGAGAGCATATTTCAACATCAAGTTACTCTGGTGGTGGTTGCTTCAAGTTGCTTCAATCCCGCACCCATTTGTCGATGCGTCTTGATGGCGTGCAAAGCCCCTCTCAATTTGGTTGAATCCAATTTTGCTGATAAGATCCCACCAGTATCTTCTGTTTGCTAAAAATGGTCAAAACACAAACCCTCACTATTTGTTGGAAAAAGGAACTTAAGATGTTGTTGTTGTCTCGATAAAAACCTCGTGTCTGCAAGTCAAATCAAGCATTTGGCTGATATATTTTCTCATCAAAAAAACATGTTCCAGAAAAAAAACAGAGTTTCTGCTGGTTTCATGGTTTTCACCATCCAAACTCGGGGTGAACTTCCCCTCTTTCCTCACCGGCCACGGCCCTTTTAGGGCCCTGCAAGCGCGCCTCCGACGTCGGGCCGTGGAGGAACAGCTGCAACGCTGCGAGACAGAGCTGGGCGCATGCCTCTGGCGACGTGGCGCAACCAGTGTTCTGGTGACGTTTTTTTCTGGTGGGTTTTCTGGAGGGTTACTACTATCATTAGATATCGTTATTGTAATTAGTAATGATATGAGCTATAACTTACTATGACTATCTATATCATTCTATCATTGGCTATACTATAATAATTATACTAAATATCAAAGTGGTTGAGTATCAGTATGCTGAAATGACTATACAAACTACAACTAACAAAATAATTAGACGTTCTATCCACTTGGATATGGGGAAAACTCAAACTCACCAACACTAGAATGAGTTGAGTCTGTATTGCATCATCTCCATGATCAACAAATGATGGAGGCTGGTGAGGTTTTCCCGTGGCCGCATCAAATCGAGGTGACGAAATGGGGGCCATGTTTTGGCCATGTGGAGAACATGATGGGTGTCCCACAGGATGCATAGGATGGGGAAACCCAGTGATGTGTTTGTTGGTTTCTAAACCATTACCCCCATGAACATCACTATCCATAAACATGGGGGTAATAATGGGGGTTTATGGATGTTTATGGATGTTTATGGTTGATATACCGAAGTAAACATATATATCTACCATAAACATCCATTGATGCCATAGAATTCAGCCACTTTTTTCCGGTGAACGCGAGCTCGACTGGGGGGCTCATCCTGGGTATCCTCAGGATCGACACCAACCGCGCGGCCCTGCGCGTCTTGGAGGATTGGCGCGGCAGCTACGAAGGGATGCGAGTGCTGGAGCTGGGGGCGGGGGCAGGCGGTTCACCGGATCTGGGACCGGTGGGGATGGAATGGGCCAGGAAATTGGGATGGATACATCTGTAGAATCTATTGGGATGGAGGATGTATGATGTATAATCTATTCTAATCTGTATACATTTTTCCCCACCTGCCAGGTGAGGGTTGTTAGATTTTATCAGAGCTGTTCTCCTCCTCCTCCTCCTCCGCCTCCTCACCCGTCGCCTCTGCCTCCTCCGCCTCCTCACCCGCCGCCTCCTCCTCGCAGTCCAGATCCCAGTGGGCACTGCCGGACCTCAACCGCGAGTTGCAGATCGCAGTGCCGGACCTCAACCGCGACTTCCAGGTCGCAGTGGGCACTGCCGGACCGCAACCGCGAGCTCCAGATCCCAGTGGGCACTGCCGGACCTCAACCGCGAGTTGCAGATCGCAGTGCCGGACCTCAACCGCGACTTCCAGATCCCAGTGGGCACTGCCGGGCCTCAACGGCCAGATAGAATGCCAGAAGATATGCCAGATAGAATGCCAGAAGATATGCCAGAACATATGCCAGAACATATGCCAGAAGATATGCCAGATAGAATGCCAGATAGAATGCCAGATAGAATGCCAGAAGATATGTCAGATAGAATGCCAGAAGATTTGCCAGTAAGAAAATGTATAAATGTCATGGTGGGGATCACGCGAAGTAAAGTAATTTATTACATGGCTTTGGAGATTGAGCTATTGAAGGCATTAGATTTGTTTGCCCTCAAAAATTGGGACTTTTCCAGCCCAAATAGGGATTCAAGCTTGAACTTGGGTCCATGCTGAAAATCGCCATCTGTACGGGTTCCATTTGTTTGAGGTTGTTGCATATTGGATTTCAAGGAACTCATGGCTTAAAGGACAATGAATGCTTTGCTGTGATTGGGTATGATTAGGTTTCAGTGCAATGAGTCGACAAAGATCAGATTTTGTCCTGATGGTTGACGAAATTTGATATTTGATATCCTTTGCCACTCTCACCTAAGCTGCATGTGGAATGGCTTGCCAGCGGCCCCCTTTTTCAGCTATCTTCCCTGCAAAAAATTACATGGAGTTCTCTCAAGAGTTTGACCACATTTTCATGGTGTTGAAAACCTCATTTTCCCTTTCTTTCACATCCGGTCACACTGCAGGAGGTTTCCACAAATTGTCAGGTCCAGTCATCATCCAGTCATGGATGACCATGACTTGGGGATTCCCCGTGACTTATGGATTTCCCCTTAGGTACTGGCCCTAGTCCAGGCGCTTGTGGCATAGCCCTTGCTTATGATGGGGCTGATTCCACAGCCCCTGGGATGAATGGGTGGAAGGGAGCACGGTGGCACGGTCCCAAACCTTTGTGATGGGGATAGGCTCATTTGGGTTAATGATGTGGGATACCCACTGCAGCAAACCGGGAATGATTGAGGATTGAAATTTTCCCATTAAGGGTCAGATGATGTACAGTAAGATGTTGGGGATGCTGTATTATGGGCTGTGCCACATGAATTCTCAAGTTGCTTGAATCCAAAGGCATCCCACTGTTTACTTGAATTGCTGAGTCGGTAATCATCCAGAATTTTTCCACGGGTTAATTTGAAAATGGTCTGAGGGGATAGCCGTGACATTGCATCTGTAAAATGGAAGATATGATTTCAAACCATGAGATGCTTGGATTTTCCCAACATCAGAGAAACCCCACCAGGTTTCATGTTTCGATCATCCCAGCTTAATATGGCTTCGTCTGAAAATAGGCTGACCCAAATTCTAGCTCCCATTAAAAACATATATTGAATAGTATTTACATGTCTTTTGGTTGGTGTGCCCCATGTTCGGACACACTCAATTGGTATCTCCCAGCGAGGTCACCGATGTGGAAGCTTTGCTGCCCCTGCTGCAGCGCAACGTGGAGTTAACCCCGCCCCTCGGAGTAGTTCAGTCGAAGGTAGTGTGGTTTGCCCATATTGTTGGTAAAGCAACTAGAAACCACCCATAGTTTATCATATTTTGATAGTTTATATCATGTCATTATACCACCCATTTATGTTAAAATTGGGGATAGGGGGATAGTATACATATTACTTTACCAATATTCATCACCATGAATGAGTGGTAAGAATCATCCCGAAATGGATAAATTAAAGTACATCATGTGGCAGAAGCATGATAATAATCAACCTACCATTTCGGGCATGTTTTATACAACCCATTCATGGTGAAATTGGGGATGGTTGATTCTTTGGTTTGTCACACTACCAAGCATTGCAATTTCCCGTGGTTGGTAATTTCAAGGGCCCCATCAAAATGTGATGATTTTGTTCAACAAAAATGCTGCTGGTCGACTAAGCGTTTGAAAACCACAATTGATAAATGATCTACCACTAAGCGTAATTGTTGCCATGTTCATTTACTGGATGTGGTACAAGCGTGGAAAGAAAATCATCATTTTGCCGGTGAAGTCTTGCAAAATTTCCGCTACATTCCATCACGATTGGTCATTGTTTTTTATTGTGTTGGTCCTCTACCTTTTTGAATCACTAACTTGAATAAGTTGATCACAATTCCTTCAATATTGATCACTATTGATCCCTTTTTGACTAGGTTTTGATTAAGTTTTGCCAAGATCAAAAAGGAAACGAAGTGAACGACATCCCCAACTAATTAATCCCCCGATGCTTTAAAGGCTTTGATCCCACTCATCGCCCAGGCTCTCAATGGAGGTGGGGGAGCGAAGATCTCAGTGATTCACCATGAAGAGTCAGATCAACATAGCTTTGAACGTCGTAGATTGATTGAACTATGGAAATATTCCATAGCTTTCAAGCCAATTTGAACTTGTAGATTTTTGATTATTTCATGGCATTGGTGTGTAAAAATCTATGTTTCATGTAACAAAATTTCCGTGAAATCCCCTGTGATGGCTGCCTCATGGCATAGGACACGATTGCCAGCGCGGCGAAGTCCAAAAAGAAGTCCAAGGAGATTCCAGGGATTCGAAGTGGATGGACATCCATTGGTTGGATCTGCTTGAGATAGAGACAAAATCAGCATGATGTGTTTGTATCAGGTCATATCAGGTGATATCAGGTCCATTACCCTCTGGTAAACATACAAAAAACGATGGAAAGATCCACCATTTTTAATGGGAAAATCCACTATTTCTATAGCCATTTTCAATAGCTATTTTGACATAACCAAAGGGTAGCCAGTCCATTCGCCATTCCAGATCCTGCTCAGTCTCGGCAGGAGGACAAGTCGTCTCGCCGGAGATCCGGTCGAGGAGCGGAGCCCAGGCGCCACATGTGGCGGAGAAAACGGCAGTGACGCAGCCATTTTGCTGGGATACCCTCTGGTTATGTCAAAATAGCTATTGAAAATGGCCATTTATAGTGGATTTTCCCATTAAAAATGGTGGATTTTTCCATAGTTTTTCGTATGTTTACCAGAGGGTATCCGGTCAGATATCCAGAGCTCATATCCCTATGTGGATCTATCTTATTTGTTGTGCAACATTCATATCCCAATATGGGCCACATTTTGAGAGTGACTTATAGGTGCCCGATACATCCGTCCTTGAATGCAGGCGTGCTGCTGGTCGTTGCCAGGCTGGGATTTGATGAGTAGAACTCACTTCAGAGTCGACCTTGATATGTGCCTCCAAAATCCAAATCTTGATTCCTGAAAACAATCTGTTCAAGAATCTCCCAGATTTGTTGTAAGGGGGCAATTTGCCGGAAACCTCATGTGACTCATTTGTTTGGATGGTAGAATCCGTACTTGAACTGCAGATTTCGATCCAATCCAGAGATCACTGGATTGCTTGACAGAAAATTAGGTGATGGTTTTAGTTTTCGCCATAAAACAATGGATTTTATAGTGTTTTAGGTGATGGTTTTCCCTAAAATTAGGTGATCTTAATGGATTTTACATGTGTCAATTGTCCCTTCATCCCGTTCCCCACGGCTGCGTGAGGCGGCTGCCGTAGAATGGGAGAAGGAGGCACAGATGCCCACGCTGCCGGGGAACTTTGATCTGGTGGCCGCTTGGCGCTGGGATTTTGGACGGAGAAGGGTCCAAAAAATCAGATGATTGACACCTGGAAAAGATTTAGAAGAATACTGATATATATATATATATATTATAACTCTACTGATTTGATAAATATATATAATGAAGTATAATTTAATAATATTTACTGATATATACTGATATGATATATAATGAAGATTGTATAATTTAATTATATTTAATATAGTTGATCATGATTTCAAATGGCAGTTTGTGTTTTCATTTTTTTTGGTTTCATTGAAACGCAACCTGGATGAGGTTCCAGACCTCACCAGGGATGGGAATTGGGTGGTCGTTGAAAAATACTGGGGATTATCAATAAATGATTGATATCAACATGCGAACAGTGTCCAGTTTTTTGTTTCCTAGACCTCTGATTGAGGTAAGACTTTCTGATGATCATGAATTATCCAGATACTTCCTCAGATCACAACGCAGTTTCTTGACCTTAGGTGGTATGTGATTGCCTCTACGAGAATCGAGACAGCACCTTGGACGCAGTCAGGTTTACCCTTCGGCAACCAAAGGTGGCAATAGGGAAATCTCCAGGTTTTACCATTTGCTTATGACAAACAGTTTTCCATGGAAAATCCCCATGCTATTAATAGGTAAACCATCTATTTCGATTAGGGCCATCTATACCATGGCGACATCAATAGGGAATTCTCCATGCCCATCATCTTCCACCTCTCATCCAAGTATCCCTGGCTGCAATGATCCTCATGCGATATTCATTAAGGATTGCCAGCATTTACTGATCATTTAACCATTGATTAACTGCTGAAGCTATGAGATAAAATTGAATCTATACTTGAATCTATAGATGACATTGACCACTGATGCATCTACTTGACATTTAACATCATTCACCACTTAAAAAAAAAAAGAAAAACAAAACTATTGGATTCACCTTGGATTAACGACATGATTTACCCTCTGGTTATTTAAAATAGCCATGGAAAATGGCCCATTTATAGATGATTTTCCCAGCTAGAAACCTCCATTTGTGGTTGGCATTTTCCATGGCTATGTTAGTCAGAACCAGATGGTATACATATATATATATATCGATATACATACATATAACTAGATGGTATACCTATTAATAGCATGGTGGATCTTTCCATGGCTAGCCCTGTTAGTCATAACCACATGATTTACCCATCATCAACCATAAACCCATCGCTTCCCACAGGTTGGTCCTCCCTGCAGCAGCTGCTGCATCGCCTACTGGGTCTCCATGGCCATGTGTTGCTGGCTTCGGCGATGCTGCGACAGCCCTTCCTGGAAGCCTTCACGGAGCAGATGGCGGAGGCATGGACCGGACCCGGTGATGTAACGCGAAGTGGAAGCCGTGTGGCGCATAGAAATAGATGATGAAAACATGATTATTATATTATTTATGATGATTTACCCATGAAACATAGTGATTCATGATGATTTATGATGATTTACCCATGACACATAGTGTTTTACGTAATTATTAGCCCCTCAAAAAGATAGGAAAGGAATGGAGAGGACAGATTTTGTCACTATCTTAGCATGACTTTTCAACATTTTTTGTGGGGGTCTGTGTATGTACCCAAGAGCAGATGCCTTGCACGCTATTCTTTTGGTGAGCCGTTTAAGCCATTTCGTTTGTTCAGGTGGGCTTCACGCTACTGTTCCTTGGCTGGGGAAATCCTTGGGATTCGCCAAGTGCAGCAAGCTGTTGCAGATCTTCCCTGCGGTGCCGAAGAATCCATCCCTCAATATGGTTTTATTCATTCAAATGCTTCGTATTTCAGAAACCTCCTGAAATGGTGAGTTTATGTATTATCCCACCGATCCATACTACAATGACTAATCCCATAGTATATGATCCCCAATGACTAGTACATATTAGTACCCCCCGGTTAAAAAATACCATGGTTTACCCCCAGGAAGAAGGAGCAGGGCGGTCCTCTGGGCGACGTCTGCGTGGTGATCCTCCGCCCGATCCAAGAGTCCGCGGACGTGGCGCCAGAGGAGTGGCAAGTCCCGGAGAGCAACGGCGAATGTGGGATATCGGATGTGGGATATCTATGGGATTTAACCAAGAAAAATGGTGGTTTCATGAGTTTAATGGGATGTTGATGTGGTTTCATAGGATTTTGATCTGCTTTATATAATGTGTTTTCGATGATGCTGTAATCGTTATTAATGGGATATACAACTTATACAACCAAGAAGGTATGATATGATGGATCTGGATGAAATCATACATCCTCATTTGTCCATGCAGACGTATCTACCAGGAGTAAGGCAGTGATGGGGTGACATCAACTGCAATGGAAGGACCTTGGAAGATGAATTTAGAAGTGAGGGAAGGTTGGAGATGCACTGTACAACGAATAGCAATTGATAATGGGCAAGGCATCTGAACAAAACCAAGATCCAACTGAGGCAACAAAACAATGGGTTTGTTCACCAAAACCTGCACCTTTAGATACAGATGGACAAAGAAGTTGGACATTTTGGCACCCATCGGATACAACTACCGGATCATGGCAATAGCAATGCTGTGCCAGGAGGCGACGGCGCCTGAAGTGGAAAAAAGAAGTGGTTTGAAACTGGGTAAACTGCAGGGTGAATGGTTCTAAGAGATTCTATGGTTCTCCGACTGTTCTCAGATATGGGGGTCAAAATTGGATACCCCTAAAATGGGCTAGTTACCATCTGGTTATGACTAACAGTTTGCCATGGAAAATCACCATGCTATTAAGTTCGATAAACCATCTATTTCGATTAGGGCCATCTATACCAAGGCAAACTGTTAGTCATAACCAGAGGGTAAGAATCGCAAACATCTGTGATCCATTGAGCCTGAACTTGTCATCAGAAATCACCAAGGAGTGCAACCGTCGAAATGGGTTCTGTTCAACGTGTCAGCTGTAAGATGGCTGGTTCTTGGTTTTTTTGCCCTTTTCCGGCCAGAACTCTTAGCTATGCCACTAGAAGAATGAACTTTCTTGATATCCAAGGTTCGCCATGAAAATCCAGTCCTATTTTCTGATCTTGGTACCAGATTGTTCAAAACCGAAGCTGCGGTTCCATTGGCACTGGTACAGGATGGGGCCCCCAAGATAGCGTTCAGTTGCATAAAAAAAGTGGCTGAATTCTATGGTTTATGGTAGATATAACATGATATATAACTATAGTTAATGGGAGTTATAATGTTTATAAACCAAGTTATAACTGGGAGGCCCCATCCTGTAGCACCCTTTTTTGGAGCCAATCCCACATGTGCTTCGCCAGCAATGCGGAGGTGCGGCCTGAAAAATCTGGTTCAAGTCACATAACATTCGCGAAGCGACGGTTTCATCAGTGGCCATCGTGCACTTACCATTAAACAAATATATCATGGGAAAAAAATACTACCAAACCAACCAACATTTTCTTGGATATACACACCAATCTTTTGCATTATACACAACATGTTTTTTGTTTTTTAGCTGGGTAAATACAACATTAAAAAAACAGAAACAAATGACCATCCAAAGGTAACCCAAGAATCAACAAGATCAAAACTAAAAACCAACCAATCAATCAATCAATCAATCAATCAATATGTGGTCAAGACCAAATCAATCAAAAGTATAAAATTGACATTTCAATCGATATGAAGTTCACTCTGTTGCAGGTCCAGAAAAAAAAAAAAAAAACTCCCATGACTTTCCGATCATCCAATCCTTAGCAGCTGCCATGGCGGCCTGTTGGCACTTCTCCCGATGTTTGGGCGCGGTACTGCGGAAGAACTTCACCCTGAAGTGCCTTGCTGCCTTGGTTAGGGAGGTCCTCAGAACCATGATTTTCCCAGTTAAGTCATGGGCAGTATCCCCTTTCCCCACGTGTGTTGGGCAGTATGTCCTAGGGTTTGTGCAAAAAAAAAGTTAGATATCTTCAAAATCCACTGGTTTGTCACTTGTAGCAATATTTTCAACATTGGGTTATACCATGTTAAACCCCATTTCTGCGCAAGGCCATGCCTCTTGGGATTAGCCCTGGTTTAGTTTGAAATGGAGTTGAAGTGATGGTTTTATGTTTCAAGAAAAATCTCTGCGACCTGCATTTCCGAATGGAAGGAACCATATGTTTGAAGTATCGCAAGGCCACAAGATGAGGTTTGTTTTCATAATATTTTATATATAGCTTGAGTAGAACACAATTTTACTTGCTTCATTGGTTATATGGCTATGAATCAATACCTATTAATACCATTTTTAGAGGTATGAACATCCATTTATCAGCTATTTTGATGTTCACCAGGGGTACAAGGTTTTGACACACTGCCATATATGTTACCCCATTTCTTATAGGTTACCCCATTCGATCTTTCCGGAGGGCTCCTAATCTGCAGCCTTCCAGGTCCAGACAATGGGCGTCAGCGATGTTAGAGCTATTGCTCCCTGCTGCTTGGCGACCAGAGATGATGAGAAAAGTCGAAAGGGAACACCAACTCCAAAATCCAAAAAAACATGGTAGTCTAGTGATATGTATAATATATATATATTATGATGTTGGCTATTATAAATTATATAATTGTATATAATATATTATACTAGTGTTGTTTTTTGATGTATGATATTGCTGTATATGATTCTGCCAGATTCTTTGAGTCTGGTTCAATGGTTGAATGACATTTCTTATGGTGCATTTTGAAGCTACCGATGAGTCGAGATGCAATCAATAGTGTCATCCAAATTCAGCTTGTACATTGCGTATATTTACAATATTTTACAAATTACATCTTGATTTTACCATATTTTACCACAACCCACCGTTTTCGTCTCACCGTCTTCGTCTTTGTTTCAAGTGACCATGGGATTGGTTGCGTTACGCCGAGGTGGCGTTGATGTTTCTGTTGATCTGGATCCGCAGTGAAGTGCAGAAGGCGTGGCTTACTGGTGCTAAACGTAGGGAATGGATGGGAATGGATGGGAATGGATGGGAATGGATGGGTTGCTGGGATTATTGATAGTGAGCCAGTGGATCCGAAAATTCCCTAGGTTTAGCTCACTAGGTACCTCCAGGTCATATAGGATCTCTTTCATCATCCCATGAGATAGTACATCATCCCATCAGATAATCAATATAGGATACTATTATCCATATTGTCATCCAAAAGTACTAGTTTTCATTATGCTTTACGATATCAGATTAGGATAGTACAAGTGTACATACGGTGGGTGGAAAGAATCGTGCACCACTCGCAGCCCCAGATGCGAGCAACCCTCGCGCTCCCCGTTTAATATTGAAGGGTTGCATCGCTGCACCACCTGAAGGCTCCCCGAAAGCAACATTGATTAGGGGGGTGAGGGTGTGACAGTGTCTCTCTGCTACAGCTATGTGCGATTACTGGTGCAGGATTTCCTCCATCCACAGTATCAAGGAAATCTGATAGTGATTTTTTTGTGATCTGTACCTTGGATGTACTTTTTTGGATAGCTACTTTTGGATGATCATATCATATCGTGTCATATTATCAGCCAGGAAAATATTCCCCATGTTTTTGCCAGGAAGATGTCCCAGCACACGATTATGTGGACGATCCGGTGCCTTGAAGGATGGGGGATGTGCCATGGAGTCCATGGAGATCGAGGAAGATGACGATATACTATGGGGTGAATCAATGGAGATGTGTTTCGTCAATATGATATGTTCAAGAACATATATCTATATATATATATTCCATATTATATATAGAGAAATATACTGTATGTGACTGTGGCTTACCGATTGAAACATCAAGATCATTTGTTTCTGAGTTGACACGCGCCGAGGCCAACAATCCCACGTGGTTCTCCGCGGAGCCTCTGGATGTGTCCAGCATCCCAGGTGGGGCAAACCACCGTTCACCACGACCATCGCAAGGTCGTTACCGGTAAAGCCTGCTGCATATTATACAGGTGTATAGTGTCATTATTGTCCCATAAAAGGGAGAATCCTCCCCTCATGAACAAGGCTTAATTAATATGTTGTATCATATGTCACCCTCTGGTAAATAAACAGTTTGACCCTGAAAACCACCAATTCTTAATGGAAACTAGTCTTCCAACCCCGATGACTGCCAGGGTCTATGTTCATTTACCAGGTGATATATGGTTTCTGAAAATTTAAGGGAATCATGAAACAGTGATATATGATATATATATATGGCTTCTGAAAATGTGGGGAAATCATGAAATAAACAGAACCCATATATCTGATGATTTCCCCTTGTAAAATAACATAAAACAAGGCAAACAACCATTGACCATGTCCTCAGACAAAGCCACATGATACATGTGGTCGCCATGGAGTTTTCAGCAGCAGGCCTTCCCCCCGCAGTAAAGAAGCAGCTGGAGCAGCTCTGCAAGTGCCTTGAAGGGCTGGCTTGATGAGTTGGGGAATGGGTCAATGTTTTTTCAATAAAAGGTTTGTTGCTTCGGAAAGAAACTTCATATCAGAATTTGTAAATTATAGTATAGTTGTATGATGATCTAAGATACATTTTGTATTGATTCCTGTTTTGATTTCCAATCAATGGTTTGAATTATGTGTTGGTAAATTAACAGTCCTGTTGATGGCTTTGGTTGGTGCATTGGTGGCCTGCTGAAATATGCTGAAATCGGACGGCCGTGGGGACTTTGTGCTGAGGTCGAAGGATAGCGCTTTGTGCCCCGAGATTTTCGCCAGCTCGTGGGGACTTCGCAAGGAACACTACACAGGCGGCGTATCCGTCAACTGCTGATGGGTTCAGAGTTCGGGTCTTTCTTTTCATGAACTCATCAGATGCTGATGCACATCAGCAAGTCATATGAAGAATCTTTTTGCAAGTCACTCAATGTCACTCACATAGTTTCGGATGGATTGGAATTCTGATGATTTCAGATGGCTTAAGTGACTAATATGCATCTTTTGGAGCTGAATGGTGTTCTGACTAATGTTCACCCATCTTTTCGTTGCTCATGGCTGTTATTGTCTCTGACCTATGGTAACTGTAGTTGAAAGAGCAACCAGAATACCAAGAAGTCATGCTGCACATCCACATATTCATCTATCATGAACTATACACGATACATCTCCGCAAATTGTTAAGCTTTGTTGGGTAATTATGTATCCTCATCTTATCTCAAATTTCGCTATAGATGTCCCATTGTTTTTTTCCTGAATCTCCAATTCCCAACGCTTTCCCAGCACTTTTTGGATTCCATGGTTCCAAACCACCAACCAGTTATACTTAGAAACTCCATAAAACCATCTATTTAACCTCTATAGATTGATGATTTGGAGTTACATAGATTTGGAGTTACTAAAAACCATCTATGGGAGCTATACATAAAACCATAGTTGATGATAAATATCCCATAGATTGGGGTTTTTGAAGCTCCCCTTTCCGCACGAAAGGTTCCGCGCTGGATGGGCTGCTGCCGCTGCACATGGCACAGAGAAATCTGCGGCTGGGCATCGTGGGCACAGCAGGCCATGGGGAGATCCGATGATCCCTGAGCTGGGGCCAGAAATGGTTGGTAAATGGTTGGAAAATGGTTGGAAAATGGTGTTATGTAAAGTTATGTTAATGACATTTTCAATCATTCCAACTTTTGAAACAAGGAGTTGATAAATACTTGGAAAATGGTGTTATGTAAACCAACCATTATAACCATTATAACATATTATAGCCATGATTGGCATTTACATGCATTTACATGCATTTACATGCATTTACCAACCTTAACCATATAAATTGGTAAAAATTGGTAAATGTTATGTATGGCATTTTCAATTCCAACTCTTGAAACAAGGAGTTAGTTAAAATTATGTAGTTAATTATATATGTATATTATATATTTAGTGATGTCCTGTTCGTACTCAGTTGAGGGATCACCCACGGGGTCCTGCAATCAACCAGGGAATTGGTGAAATTTGCGAAATTTAAGGGAAGTTTCAGTACGACCAAAGCATTGTGTGGTTCATTTATGTTCATTTATGTTCTTCATTTATGGTCATTTGTATGGTAAGAATTGGAAGATCTGATTGTTTGCTTGAGGTCTTTAGATATCTTCAGATCAATATCCTGAAATGAAGAGGGCTTGGCTAATAGCCCAGCGATTTCAGAACTTGGTTCCAAAGGATCTCTCGAAGCTACATTAAGTCGTGACTAAGTCGTGACTAAGTTGGCTAAGTCGACATCATTGTCCATTTATATATCAATATATATATATAATATATATAATTAGCAATGTCATTACTTCAATTTAGGTTGATCATGCTGGATTTTGCGAGATCCCAACTCCACTGCTATGGTCCCGCAGGGAAAGGTTTGGACGATTTCATCTCCTCCCTGCCGGGCTACTCCAAGTTGACACGTTACTTCTCCTCAGAGGCAGAATGAGAGGTGACGGAACCACTAACGAAGTGGGGTTCAACCACTATATCAAATTTAGATACGTTTTTTGGGGGTTCGTTTAGCTGGAAACCATTGTTTTTATCAATAAATATGGGATAATGTGGATGAATGTATTACCATGAGAACTGAGTATGTTGCCAACCCATCAAGTGTGGTGCATTCTTCTTCGCATGTTTTTTGTTTCTTCTTTGCATCCAGGTATAAGCTTGGGTATTGATGATCCCAGTTCTTACTTGACTGGAATTGAAACGAGGAAGACATATCAGACGTGATCATGGCATTTTCTCTTTGTGGCCAGCATAAAACGCAAGATGCTTGAATAGTCTCCAGGAATCCTACGATGACTATTTGGCAGATCACGACTATGGCTTCAGCACACAGAACCCTGCGTGTCTTCGAGAAAATCTGCTGGTGGATGCTGGTGGTTTGTGGGGAGCCGTCAAAATGTGGAGATAGTCACCAACAGAAGTGATGGTAGAACTTGCGATTGTCATATGTAGACTTGGATCTATGCATTGACCAAAATCAAGAATCGACATTTAATTATTTGACGATGCAAAAGTGTAAGACCATCAAAGAAATCAAGAAATCCAATGGTCCAATTGTTTGGTTTCTCGTTTCACAACTCATAGCCACCGTCCACATTGTACCCGATGCTGTTCTGATCCATGCTCATCCCATTGCTGTCCTGCATGGATTTGCTCTACACTTTGGCAATCCAATCGATGGAAAAACTCTGGACAGTTTTGGACATGTCCAGTTTGGATATCATAATATATCATATTTGGGATGAAAAATAATGAAATATGATGACCAAAACTCTGTATCAAGATTTTTGGTGTTGGTTTCCCTTCGATACTTTCTTTCTGAACATCATTGCACGGAATCGAATTTCCCAACATATTTCGCATCTCCACAGATCCTTTCCAGGCCCTCCCAAGCTGTTTCAGACACGAAGTCATTGGATCCATCACAGTTCCACCATTCGACCATTCCCCGCCTCAGGTTGTTTGGTGCCATCGTTGTACAGTCAGCTGCCACCTGTCCGAGTGTCACTTGGAGAAGGTGCATGTTTTGAAGGGATCCAAGTCATCATAGGAAAAAAATGATAGGTAAATTATAGTCACAAGGAGGGTAAATTGGTCATTTATGGTCATGTTACCATCATTTTAAACATGTTACCTTTATATTTACCAAATTTGTCCCCCTTGTACCTGGTGTGTTTGGAGCAACCCGTAGGACTTCAGGACCCAATGGTGTTTGGAATTGGATGATATTGCTTGATTTGTTGCAACTGGTGATGATCGGATGCAAGTTTTGGGTCTGAAATTCTTTTGGACTCAACGGGTTAAGTTGCAGCAGAATGTAATCTGGTTGAACACAGAGAGCTCTTCAAACTTTTAAGATGCGTTGAAATGAGGACCAACTCAAAAACTGTGCGTTTCAAAACCACCTTGAGACATATATCGGATTTTTATGGATTTCCAGTGGCACCAACGTCTACGTCCGCGCCCAGGGTGGGACCTGCAGTGGTGACTGGGACATCGTGATCCATCTCAACACCACGGGGCCCAGCACTTCCACGGCTGATATCAAAGGTGGGCTCTCATTGCGGGGGACAAAATGGTCAAAATATGTCAAAATCGCGGCGGTATGGATCTTTGAATCAACATGAAATTACATTTGACATATGTGACATATGTGACATATCATATGAATGGCGGATGAACATGCATAATTATAACTTGTTGTTGTTCACCAAGAGTGATCGGGTTTCGACCAAAACAACAACTGGTGGAGAGGTGAAGCATGATGGAGTTCGGACTCGGTTATGAGAAATATATTTCCCGATGTTCATCCCGGCTATGATTATCCGCATGACCCGTCGTGCCTGGTTTCAGGTGAAACCAGGACAGCCTTGGTGAATCACAGATGTTCACAGACTTCACCAGTCGTTTCACCTGTCAACCAACGATAACCAGGGCCATAACCAGCCTCAATTTTCCATCATTTCTGAATATCAAATGACTGGAGAGACTGAAATCTGGTGTTTCTGAAATCTTTCTGCAGGAGCCACGGACATCAACACCAAGCTGACTCCTGAAGTGAGCACCCTCAACAAAGGCGCGGCAATGCCATGACCATACGATGGCCAGAAAATGTGCCAGAAAAATACCTTAGAATCTTAGATGGGATCTGTAGCAAATATCATAAGATATTTGGTATTTTGAAATAGAACTATTGTGAAAAAATATTTATTATCATCATCATCATCAGCATCATCATCAGCATCATCATAATCATCATCATCATCATCATCATCCCACTATATATTATATATATAATCCCATAGTTGACATGTTTTCTTCTGAATGGCTGACTTGCCAGGTTTGAAGATGTCGACCAGCAGGATCTATTGGCCACTTGATATTTCTCCCAGAAAAATGGCCACTGGGGATGTGGATCAATGGTACACCAAAAGGTTGGTTTTTAACCAATGAACATGGAGAACATGGAGATACAAAATGGATGGTTTTGGATGGTTTTGGCAGTTGTGTATGAAAGATTATGAAATATATGTTGAAAGATGGCTGGGAAGACAATGTGAATTGACTCGTCGTTCTTTGGGAAGAAGATCCCCAGAGAGTGTTTTGTTTATTCTCCGTCAAACAGATTATACCATCACATACCATGATCTTGAAGATCATTTCTCAGATGGCAACGGTTTAAACCCCTTTGGCTACTGACTCTTTGCGTATGGCCAATCATTGGATGAGTTGCACATTGGTCGCTTTCCGCAAGACGATCGACACACAAAAAAAAAGTATCACTCGACAATTTTCGCAACTGGAGTTTGAACATGTTTAAGCTGTTTGAAATCTTCCAAATATTTTAAAATCCAAGTTTCCGCCAAGTTTCACTCCTTCACCGCATTATTGGATGGTCTTTGAATGGTGGATCCTGGATTCTTTGGTCCGATATGGTCCGATCATCCCCAGATTTTCCCGTCGTGGCGTAGCACGCGTAGCGATGGCCGAGGTCGGGTGGCATGTCTCGTAGCCTGGGTCTGGCTCTGCCCACAGGTGGATTGGTGGATCTCCAGAGTCTGGTGACTCGTTTCACTCGCATTGGAAGGTCATGGACGGCACGAAAAGATGGGTAGGAAACTGAGGAAACTGAAGAAACTGAAGCTGGACAGAATGGAGAGATATGATGTGACTTGAGATATCTTAAATTCTTAAGATGCGGATTTTCAGTGGTACGTTGCCAAGCCTATGATCATCGGCAGTTCACCAGAAATGGGGGTGAACTCAGAGCAACAAAAAAGGGATGTTGCAAGCAAGAAAGGAGATTTGGCCAACCGAATATAGTTGTGTGGTAGGCTTGGCTGTTATCCAATGTCCTACAAATGCGGAGCCCAAACGTTTCCCAAGAATCCTATTTCTGTCGTTGCTTGTTGCAGTACGATCTGTAGCCACGAAAAAATCAGTTCCTCAGAGGGTACCCCAAGACTCCTCCCAGGTCATCCCAAGAATAAACCACCCCATTTTTGGTCTATACCACCCATAAAAATGGTGATTTTGGGGATTGTTTATTATTGTTTTAACTTTGAACCACATGAGTTAGTATCGCAGTACTGTAAATCATCATGTCCAGGTTAAGAAAGTTACGACCTCATTTGCTTTGCTTTGGACTGGCGAATTCAACCCTCCACTTTGTGAATTGCTGCTTAACGGGCCTTTTTTTGGTGCTTTATAAAGCCCTCCTGTTGTTCAACCCCTCTAAATTGGCGCCTCATACTTCCTGCTTCAAATCACCATTTGATTCCCATCCATCTCCATCCAAATTCTAGAACATCAACTCCAGCTCCAACTCTAGAAATCCACGACTTTTCCCCCAGTTTTTTCCCATCCCATCCTGCCTGCAGATCGACCGCAGTGCCGGTGCCGAGGTCTACGCCTGGATCTTCAACAGCACCGGTGCCTATCAGCTGCCGTCGCCTTCGGAGCTGCCGAGCTGCGACTGCATCGACCCCCAGGGTCAGGCCACAGAGGTCTGGAAAAGCGGTTTCCGGCGCTGGAAATGGTGGTTGACCCGGCCTGGGAAACATACAAAAAGCTATGGAAAATGGTGATTTATGGTGGATTTACCCATCTAAAATGGTGATTTATAGATATTTATAGTGGATTTATCCATCTAAAATGGTGATTTAGTTCGTGGATTTACCCATGAATAGCATGGTGGATCTTTCCAATAGCTATGTAAACGTTTACCAGAGGGTATCTGAGATACCAAAAACATCAACAAAGCAACCATAGGACCATAGTTATATGGCCGATTTTAGGGATGATTCCTTGATGCTGAAAGACTTGTGGTTTGTTTCGCTGTAGATAAATGATGGCATCTGTGATGTAAGAAACCATGAGAAAGGTAATGGAACAATGATGAAAAATGATTTGGCTGATTTTGGATGATGTCTAGCGGACTCAGTTGCGACCAAACCCCATTTAATGAAACTGAATCGGGGGGAACCATTTGCTCTAAGTGCCGCATTCGCAGAAGATCCATGGTTTTACCATCCAAACATCAGGGTTTCCTGAGTTTCCTTGCCAACAGATGGGACTGGAATTGCTTAGTGGAAGAATATTGATGGACGTATTCATTGAGAACCCCTATTTCCCCGACAATTTCACTCTTCCTCTCACCAGCATCTTGTGTTTACCATCAAGATACCAGGATTTCTATGGAAATTCCCTGCAAGACCCATTGACTCCCACAATATCCCACTATGTTGCAAATTGTACCACATTTGTTGTAGATTAAACCCTTCCATATGAATTTGATGTATCCCCTGGCCCAACCTCAACATGTTCTGATGCTTAAACTAGATATGTTTTACCAACTATCATAATTGTCACCCTGTCACCGTCCCTATTACAAAATATAGCCATTTATAGCAACACATATTCCAAATATGCACTATATGTTTTATCCCAAAATACGATTGCTGTTTTGCTAGTTTATAGCCATAATGAATCATAATGATATATCACATAGCAGAACATTGTCTATTCTGGCTATTTGATATTATAGTATATTGCGTACAGTATCCCAACCATTGCTATCATTCTAAATCCACTATAATTGTCAGATATCCCAACCGTAATATCGCCTCTTAGCGAACCCCCTCCACTCCACTCCCCCCAAAGAAAACATAGATTGCGGAGAGGGAAAATCTCAATTTGATAGTTAAGTTAAACAGCAAACAAAGGGATCTAACATGATCAACATACCCATGAAAGGTATATAAAATCAACTCAAACCCACGATATTATCATTGTATTCCCATCATATCCCCTTAGAAATTGGTGACTTTCTTGTATCCACATCTTAATATGTCATTCCCAATTCATCTTCCATTAAACATCATCATTAAACAACCATCATTTCTGGACATCTCCAGCCCCAAAAGTCAAGTCCTTCGCCAGGACTTCTCCCAGTGCAACAGCTCGTCGCTGTTCACCACGGCGCTCCGTGCCCTGACGCCCCACTGGTCCACCACGGTGCTGGGCAGCTCCGCGGGATGCTTGGGACGGCTCAGTGACTCGGTGACAGCTCCGGTGGAGGTGGAGGAGTTCACCAATGACCAAGTGGGGACTTCACAGAACTAATAGGGAATTATATATGGTATATACCGACGGACTGGAAGTTAGAATGACGTTTTGGTGGAAAGATGTGGACGTCAAAAAAAACACCCGGGTACCGCGTGAGAAATTCGGGAGGCATTCTAACCCTATTTATTTAGTCCTGAAACCTCTAAACAAATCCGGGACGGCATTCTAACCCTATTTATGTAGTCCTGAAGACCCCAAAACTCCAAAATTTCGAATTTTCGACCGTCCCGTGTCTTCCATGTACTACAAATATGCAGAATATGCATGTAAATTGCAAGACTCTACCCAACAATACAATGAAAAATAATGAAAAACATCTTTAAAACATTGAAAAATCAGTGAAACATGATGAAAAACATGTATACACATTGAACAATCAATGAAAAATAATTAAAAACATCTAGGAAATAATGAAAAATCATTGAACAAGAATGAACAACATCTTCAAAATAATGAAACACCAATGACACATAGTTAAAGAATCAATGAAAAACATCGTCAAATAATGAAAAACAAATGAACATAATGAACACCATCTTCAAAATAATGAAAGATCAATGAAAAATAATGAAAAAAATCTTGAAAATAATGAAAAAACAATGAACATAATGAAAAATCAATGAAACATAATTTTAAAAAATGCCGCTTTGGTGGAAAGATGTGGATTTCAAGAAAAGACCCGCGTACCGCGTGAGAAATCCAGGAGGCATTCTAACCCATTTAGTCCTGAAGGCATTCAAATCCTATTTATTTAGTCCTGAAACCCCTAAAACTCGAAAATGTTTGACGAATTTTCGACCGTCCCCGTGTCTTCCATGTATATGGTACTGCAAATATGCAGAATATGCATGTAAATTGCAAAAATCTACCCAACACATAATAAAAAATCATGAAGAAAAACACTAAACAATCAATGAAAAATAATGAAAAACATGCAAACACATTGAAAAATCAATGAAAAAGAACGAAGCACATCTTGAAAATGATGAAAAGTCCATGAGAAGTAATGAACAACGTCTTGAAAATAATGTAAAATCACTGAAAAATAATGAAAACATCTTCAAACTACTGAAAAATCACTGAATGCCGTCCCGGATTTTTTTAAAGAGGTTTCAGGACAAAATAAATAAGGTTAGAATGCCTCCTGGATTTCTCACGCGGTACGCCTGTTTTTTTTTTTTAATCCATGTCTTTCCACCAGGGTGGCATTATAATTTTCGGTTCTACCATGTAATTAAAAGAAACAATAAAAAATAATGAAAAACATCATCAATATAATGGAAAACCAATGAAAAGTAATGAATCTACCCAAAATCAATCAAAACTGTCGTAATATGCAGAAAAAATGCAATACCGTCATCCGCCGATCCAAGAACACCTCGTTTACTCACATCTAATACGTGTGTACAATACATGTACACATATGTAATATATACAGCGCATATATATATATGTGTGTGTATAATGCCGTTTTCAGAGGTTACCATCCTATTTAATCAACATTTCATTATTGTGGGGAATATCGTGGGAAAATCCCCGACGCGCATTCTAACCCTATTTATTTAGTCCTGAAACACCTTAAAAAAACCGGGATGGCATTCCAATTCTAACCCTGTGTATTTAGTCCTGAAACCCCTAAAACTCCAAAATGTTTGACGCATTTTCGACTGTCCCGTGTCTTCCATGTGAATGGTACTGCATGTAAATTGCAAAAAAAAAACATGAACAATAAACAATGTCATACTACGCAGAAAAAATGCAATATCGTGTTGTAAAGTAGTAAGTAGAATATGCAGGTATTCGTCCATACAACATGCTCATGATCAGCAAAAAAGTAAATGACCACTAAAATTGACAGAATATGCAGAAAAAATGCAATATCGTCATCCGCCGACCCAAGAACACCTCGTTTACTCACATCTAATACGTGTGTACAATACATGTACACATATGTAATATATACAGCGCATATATATATATATATGTGTGTGTATAATGCCGTTTTCGGAGGTTACCATCCTGTTTATCAACGTTTCATTATCGTGGGGGATATCATGGGAAAATCCCCGACGGGCATTCTAACCCTATTAATTTAGTCCTGAAACAGCTAAAACATCCTAAAACTACAAAATTCTTGACGCATTTTCGACCGTCCCGTGTCTTCCATGTACTGTATATGGTACTGCAAATTTGCAGCATATGCATGTAAATTGCAAACAGATCTTTCCATGAACAATAAACAATGTCATGATATGCAGAAAAAATGCAACATCGTATTGTAAATATACATATGCGGAATATGCAGGTATTCACCCAAAAAACATGCTCATGATCAGCAAAACAAATATGATCAATAAAAACTAACAGAGTATTAGAACAAATGCAATATCGTTTGTGTATAATGCAATTTTTGGAGGTTACCATCCTGTTTAACCTACATGTCATTATCGTGGGGAATACCGTGGGAAAATCCCCGACGGGCATTCTAACCCTATTAATTTAGTCCTGAAACCCCTAAAACATCCTAAAACTACAAAATTCTTGACGCATTTTCGACCGTCCCGTGTCTTCCATGTACTGCAAATATGCAGAATATGCATGTAAATTGCAAACAAATCTTTCCATGAACAATAAACAATGTCATGATATGCAGAAAAAATGCAACATCGTATTGTTAAGTTAAATATGCAGAATATACAGGTATTTGCAAAAAAAACATGCTCATGATCAGCAAAAGAAAAACCGTGATCAAAAAAAAATGACAGAATATAAAAAAATGCAATATCGTCTGTGTATATTGCCGTTTTTGGAGGTTACCATCCTGTTTAACCTACATGTCATTATCGTGGGGAATACCGTGGGAAAATCCCCGATGGGCATTCTAACCCTACTTATTTAGTCCTGAAACCCCTAAAACTCCAAAATGTTTGACGAATTTTCGACCGTCCCGTGTCTTCCATGTACTGCAAATATGCAGAATATGCATGTAAATTGCAAACAAATCTTTCCATGAACAATAAACAATGTCCATGATATGCAGAAAAATGCAACATCGCATTGTTAATTTAAATATGCAGAATATACAGGTATTTGCCAAAAAACATGCTCATGATCAGCAAAAGAAAAACCGTGATCAAAAAAAAATGACAGAATATAAAAAAATGCAATATCGTCTGTGTATATTGCCGTTTTTGGAGGTTACCATCCTGTTTAATCAACATGTCACTATCGTGGGGAATACCGTGGGAAAATCCCCGACGGGCATTCTAACCCTATTAATTTAGTCCTGAAACCCCTAAAACATCCTAAAACTACAAAATTATTGACGCATTTTCGACCGTCCCGTGTCTTCCATGTACTGCAAATATGCAGAATATGCATGTAAATTGCAAACAAATCTTTCCATGAACAATAAACCATGTCATAATATGCAGACAAAATGCAATATCGTATTGTAAATAAATATGCAGAATATGCAGGTATTCGCCAAAAAAAATGCTCACGATCAGCAAAACAAACATGATCAATAAAAACTGACAGAATATAAGAAAAATGCAATATCGTCTGTGTATATTGCCGTTTTTGGAGGTTACCATCCTGTTTAACCTACATGTCATTATCGTGGGGAATACCGTGGGAAAATCCCCGATGGGCATTCTAACCCTACTTATTGAGTCCTGAAACCCCTAAAACTCCAAAATTATTGACGCATTTTCGACCGTCCCGTGTCTTCCATGTACTGCAAACATGCAGAATACGCATGTAAATTGCAAACAAATCTTTCCATGAACAATAAACAATATCATGATATGGAGGAAAAAATGCAACATCGTATTGTTAAGTTTAAATATGCAGAATATACAGGTATTCGCAAAAAACATGCTCATGATCAGCAAAAAAAATACATGCTCAAAAACAATGACAGAATATGCAGAAAAATGCGATATCGTCATCCGCCGTTCCAAGAACACTTCGTTTACTCACATCTAATATGTACGTAAATGTACATATATTTTTTACTGCGCATATATATATATATATATATGTATGTATAATGCCGTTTTCTGAGGTTACCATCCTGTAAAATCAACATTTCATTATCGTGGGAAATACCGTGGAAAAATCCCCGACGGGCATTCTAACCCTATTTATTTAGTCCTGAAACCCCGAAAACTCCAAAATGATTGACGCATTTTCGACCGTCCCGTGTCTTCCATGTACTGCAAACATGCAGAATATGCATGTAAATTGCAAACAAATCTTTCCATGAACAATAAACAATGTCATGATATGCAGAAAAAATGCAACATCGCATTGTTAATTTAAATATGCATAATATACAGGTATTTGCCAAAAAACATGCTCATGATCAGCAAAAGAAAAACCGTGATCAAAAAAAAATGACAGAATATAAAAAAATGCAATATCGTCTGTGTATATTGCCGTTTTTGGAGGTTACCATCCTGTTTAACCTACATGTCATTATCGTGGGGAATACCGTGGGAAAATCCCCGATGGGCATTCTAACCCTACTTATTTAGTCCTGAAACCCCTAAAACTCCAAAATGTTTGACGCATTTTCGACCGTCCCGTGTCTTCCATGTACTGCAAATATGCAGAATATGCATGTAAATTGCAAACAAATCTTTCCATGAACAATAAACAATGTCATGATATGCAGAAAAAACAACATCGTATTGTATATAAATATAAATATGCAGAATATACGGTGATTTGCCAAAAACATGCTCATGATCAGCAAAAAAAACAATAAAACATGACAGAATATGCAGCAAAAAATGCAATAGCGTCATCCACCGATCCAAGATCTCGTCGTTTACTCACATCTAGATTTCATTTATCTATTTAAAAATCTATATAGAATTCAGAAGTTTTGGAGGCATATGCTGCGCAGGCATTCTAACCCTACAAAAAAAAGTTTGGTGGCCCCGGCAAACCAAGCTTTTGGTCGGTTTTGGACTACTGTTTTTTTTTAATTGGTGTTGATGAGTTTTTACAGGTTTTCGGCGGTTTTTCGACGGGTTGTGGCGAAGCTGCTTCATCAAAAATCTGGTAAAACCTGTTTTTTTCTCAGAAACTAGCTCAAAACCAGGTTTTGATACCTCGACCCGCTTTTTTCAGGGATTTGGTTGATGTAGGATATAAATAAATAAGTAAACAAATAAATAGATAATCCCTTCCTCCTAATACTAAACCCCCGCCCCTTAATAATAAACACGTCAGGTAGTTTTTAGTATTAGGGTGGTATTTATTATTAGGGAACCCTATTAATAAAATTAAAACCTTAATAATAAAAACTATTTTTTCCGATTCCAAAATCAATCAAATTTCTTTATATAACGCAATTAAAATATTGCCAAAAATTGGATTTCGAAGCTTCCCCCTAATATTCAAGTAAAACCCTGAATAATAAAAACTATTTTTTCCGGTTTCAAAATCAATTAAATTTCCTTATATAACGCAATTAAAATATTGCCAAAAATTGGATTTCGAAGGTTCCCCCTAATATTAAATTAAAACCCTTAATAATAAAAACTAAAAAAAATCGGACGGACCCTAATAATAAACACCCCGGGGTGAACTAGTTTTTGTATTAGGGGGCAAAATCCACAAATGGTAGCTTTATTTTGAAATTGTTTTCTAAAGGGGACCAATTAAAAATCAAATTGGCCAATCTGAATTTTCTGAAATTGGAGATGGATGCTAGATGTTTTTAGTATTTGGGGGACGTTTAGTAATAGGAGGAAGGGATTATATATATAATATACATATATTTCAAATCTATATAAAATTCAGAGGTTTTGGAGGCATATGCTGCGCAGGCATTCTAACCCTACAAAACGATAAAGGTTTGGTGACCCCGGCACAACAGGTAGGCAAGTTTGATCAAACAACTTTTGAACATTTTTATCCACATTTACCAGCATAATACGGACTGAAAGGTAAAATTTTAGTAGATTTTCTACGTCCATTTGGGTACGTCATTCTAACTTTCAAAGGAAAAAAATTGGTGGAAAACACGACATTCTAACTTCCAGTCCGTCGGTATAATTATATATATATGGTATATATTCCATAAGTATTATGGTATATGGTATATGGTATATGGAACATGGCTTTTAGAATACTAATTATGGAATACACTATGGAATATTCAGGGAATGTTTTTTGGGATGATGATGAAGATCCAACCCTGAAGAGAAAAGAGTTTATCATTATATGAATTACTGGTTGCTGGTTTGGAACATGGCTTTTATGACTTTCCATTCAGTTGGGAATAAGGTGAACAACTGACTGACTCATATTTTTCAGAGGGGTTGAAACCACCAACCAGGAATATAGGGAATGTGTGGGGATGATGATACCAGGGTTACCATCTTGAATGAGCATCTGGGTTTTGTTTCTATTCTTTGACTGAAGAATTGCAGCATGACGTCAGTGCAACAGTTGACTTAGATGATTGAACTGATAATGACATCGTAATTCAAACAGATTCCAACAACCAAGGGAGAATTCTTCACGATATGAGCAGCAAACCACTATGTAGCCAACATTCCGCTGCAGAAGACATTTGCCACGTACCCTTCATACCACAACCCCGAAGTTGTATAGAATCTATTTCTGGATTCAGTACCCACTATATACCATATAGAGCACATCCCCACCATGTATTAAATTCCTACAAATCCACCATTCTTTGCCAAATATCCTCCTCCACTTCTTCCGCCCCCAGGTGGCATTTTACCCGTCAGCGTGAGGGAGATCCCCTTCCCAACTCCTGCCTACACGGACGACCCCTTCGCCAGCTTCGTGGAGAGCGTCTTCGGTCTCTTCTTCGTCCCTGGATCGGGGACGGGGGACTGGGGACGGAAGCCAGAAATGGGAGATAAAGGGATAACCCAAGAAATATGATTGGGAATTGGTGGGATATATATATATATATGTATATCATGATCATCTGAAATCTGTGGAGGAAAGCCATATCATGACACGACAATATGATGGATTGATCTTTCACAAATGTTTGCATAATTAATGTTGTGATCTATATCATTGTAGTAACATTTGCAGATGTTAAGCAAATATTGGTCAAACTTTGATACACAGAAATGGGAGGTTTTGGAGCCACAGGCTATTGGATGCTATTGGTTTCATTGGGGAAATGACCTTGATGATCATTAATGCAGTTGATAAACTGATGAATGAGCAACAAACATGAGAGTAGAAGCCAGAAGGTATTTCATTGGCTTCAGCCAGACACACTTGGAACATGAACCACGTTGAACGCGGAAATCTGGTGAAATTCTGGTGAAATCCAGGTGGTGATCACCCAGAATTTCACACCTGGATTGACCCGAGGTCTTGGTTTTCATCTGGCCTTTAACGCGGATCATGAAGAGCTTAGTGGAGGATAAGGAGGCGCGCATCAACGAGGTCATGAAGATGATGGGGATGCCAGCGGATGCTCGGTGGATGTGGAACCCTGTGGAACCTATGGTGCCAGAAAAAATCACTGATCTTCTGGTGGTTTGGCGAACATGTGGGAAGTGGAACTTAGATATCCAGAGATTCTCCGATGATCCATTTCATATGGATCGCTTGCACAACACATCCCCGTTCCATGGGGTTACCCGTTACCTCACCCGAGCGTTTAATGGGCTGTGCAGTTCTTCAATGACCATCAAAGACGGCGATAAGGCGATGTTTTTGGAGTCCACAGTTTTGATAAATGTTTTCCCCAAGAGATGTGCGGATTTGACCATTTTCAGGCCTGGCGGCAACCTGTTTGGCAAGGCTATCCCAGTATCGGATCCAGCTGTCCTGGAATCTCCTTGAGATATTCCGTCCTAATTCTGGACATTCCCTTACCCATGACGGATCCATGGTGCTGCTATATATGCTGTGCCATGGATCCCATCGATATACCCCCTTTATGTTAGCATTAATGATGACTTGGAATCCCCAGGAATGACCATCTAAAAATCATATACCATCTGACTAACAGTTTGCCATGGAAAGATCCACCAATTTTAATAGGTAAACCATCTATAAATGGACCATCTATACCATGGCAAACTGTTAGTCATAACCGGAGGGTAAAATCAGAATAGAACAGCAAGTCACTGATAACAACAAAACAAACTGATGATCTTTTTGGCTTACCCTCTGCTTATTTAACATAGCCATGGTATAGATGGCCCATTTATAGATGGTTTACCTGTGTTTACCTATTAAAAAATGATGATCTCATCCCAAAATCATCCCATTTCGAATGTTTTATCCCCGCCCATTTCACCTCATTGCTTCGAAGCCGAAAAAACCGGTGGTTTTAAACCTCATTTTCCCCATCGAACATGGCCATAAATGGGGAATACCCCAGCAACAAATCCATAGGCAGAAACCATCATAAACCCATAAATTCATCCATGTTCCCATTGCCCATTCACCTTAATTATACCATATACCGTATACCATAGTATACTCCGTACCATAGTATACCATACTATACCCCATCCATTGTGGCAAAAACCACAGGGTGGTGCCCCAGTTCGTTAGCTAAGTTGTTTGGTAGCTCCAATGACTGGGGTTTGTGACAGACAATCAAATAATGGTGGTAATACACCAACTGATTATGTCAGGGGGGCACCACCCTGCATCGCGGCAGTAGGAAGCCATCCTACTGGGTTGGTACCTGACCTACGGCCTGCTCTGGATCATCCCCGCAGCTCTGATGACAGTGGTCTGCTGGGATTCCGTCTTCCAGCCCGGGGCCATGGATGGGCCGTGGATGGGCCGCGGTGGACTGGGAGGAGAAAATCCTGACATATCAGTGATGGAACAGCTCTTCCAAGAAGTTTTCAGTTGCTACTTGACATTTCAGTTCCAGTTATAAGTATATTACTGTATATAATTATATATATATTATATTATATATTATATATATTATATATTATATATATTATATATATTATATATATTATATATATTATATATATTATATATTACTATATATATATATATTATAGTACTTTATATATATATACATCATAGTCATTATAGGCCCCATAGGCCAACTCATGGTGTTTCTTTCACTTTTTTTACCCACCAATTGTGTTTCAGGATTCTGGCAACCCCAGGCACAGCAACAAGCTGCTGGTCTTCATCTTCTTCTGGCTCTTCGGAGTTTGCGTCGCCATGGGTTGTGGGGGGATATCCCATGGGATGCTTGAAGGGATTACTGGAAGGGCTTATGAAGCACCAGGGATTGAGGGATTGTTTGTTTCACTGAATTTCATAGAATTGGATGATGGGAAAATTTACAGGAAACCCCTATATTTGATGGTAAAAACCATGGTTTCCTGTAGATTTTCCCTTAAACCAATCCATTGAGAATTGGGCTGGTTGAAATATCTTGAAATCTGAAACTGCGACAGGTGGTGACCTTGTGTTCCTTCATCGCTGTCTTCTTCTCGAAAGCCAAGACGGCCAGTGTGGTGGGAGCGCTACTTTTCTTTCTTCTCTACTTCCCCTTCCTGTGCCGCGGGCCGAAGTTTTTCGATGTTCTTCGGTGTTTTTTAACGTGATAATATAATATCTGTGATTGGATTCGTCAAGTGAGCTGGAACTGGGAACTGCAGTCTCTGATTTGCCGATTGTACCAGGGGTGTACTCCTGTTGAAGATTACCACTTCCACCATTCTATAATATTCTACATAATATATTTGTACTTAGCTAATGTATATAAATATATAAAATTATGTTATATATAGAGATTGGTGATTGGTTTCCGTGTATTTTTCTGGTTTGTCTTCGAATCTCATGGCATTTTACCCAACCTGCAACGAGGTTCGTGTCGGACAGCGGCGCCTCCGCGAGCACCAAAGCCTTGTCGTCGCTGTCGCCGCCTGTGGCCTTGTCCATAGGCGCTTCCGGTGGCATTTTACCATGGAAAATCCGATGGAAAATCCTAACCCAGGAGGAATCCGAGTTTGATATGATTCTTATGATCCCGAAACTTGGATATATGATGTTTAACCTATAAGTGATAGGCAAAAACTTAGATCATATATATTTAGTAAGTTGATTTTTGATGTTTAGGATCCCAATTGATATCCCAATTAAACCAAGATATGTGTTCCCGAACATGCGGTGCCCAGATTTCGGCTCGCAGGTGCTGGGCTCATTGCGCAATTTGAAAGTGCGGGTGTAGGACCTGAACGGCTGAGTGGTTACCCTTGAAATTTAAGTGAGTAAATCCCTCAAGGTATAAGAATTAAGTGCTTATTATTATAGTTACTATATAGTATTATACTATAGCTAATATATACACTTAATATCACTTAATATCACTTAATACTCCTTATAGACTTTATATATATAGTGTATCATATAGTTTTTTGTTGATGGCGCATCTAATTCGATGATTTACCGAAGCATGGTGATTTTCCCATCTCCAGTTCGCTGTGTGAAATTACCAGAGGGGATGTGATTTTGACTGCCCAAGATGCCCAACTGTGGCTGGCTCCGGTGAATCAAAGGCTGACGGCTGATCTCCACGGTCATACTGTGGATGGGCCAGCAAAATCCACCAGTTGATAGGTCTTTTATATGTTTTATCATGTTTTATCCCATTATTTATAGGGTTTCAACACGTTTCAACCATCCATCAATTGGTGGTGCAGGGGATGGTCATCATGGTCATTCCATCACAGGAGTCAGATGGTCCAACATCAACGAGTCCATCGACAATTCGTCCATGGGACAAGTGTTGCTCATGCTGCTGCTGGATACTGTGACTGCTCATACAAAGGGGACCAAAAGATGGCCCTGGAAAATTGGATGGCCATGATGAGTGGATGTTGGGATTCCACATTTTTAGAGCCAGTGTGTTTCTATTTGTTCATAAAGTGCATTTCACCTCCTTCAGTTTGATGTGCTTAAAATAGCAAATGTTGCAATTCCAAAAGACCAGATCTGAATGGTCAGTGTATGTCTATGGTGGTCCCCAAGTGAAACAGACAATTTTTGAGCCATGCATGCATCAAAGCATAGTGACAGTTGATATTCATTTCTGGTTGGCTTCAGATGTCCATTGTGCAAGTCTTGGTCCGTTTTCTTATCCCATTTTTCTCATTTTTCATAGTGTAGTAAAGCATGAAACAGATCCTTGATAATTATATACAATATTATATGATATTAAGGATGTTATATTAACAATCTACCAAATATAACAGATCCTAGTTGTGTTTCTTTGCGGATGTCGAATTTGCAAAGAACACCGGGCGGAAAATTTGCTTCAGATCACCAGGTGATCTTTGCTCTCCTGGCTTGGTACTTGGACAAGGCCAACTGCTAGATGGACACAGAAAGAAATGCCAAATTGGAGGTTTCCATAGTCATGGGGATACCTCAATAGCTGGAGGGTTTATTTCATAGAAAATCCCACCTATAAATGGAGGATAACTAGAGATACCACCATTTTAGTATTAGGAACCCCCCATGTTGCAGGATATTTATGGATATTCTCTGTCTAAAGTGTCTAAAGATCTGCATATGAGTTGCATACTTTGATCTTGTGGCCTGAAAATTTACGGCGGCCTGAGGGCTTACCAGGTACTGTATCAGAAAAGTCGGAATTGTTCCGGAATCATCAAAAAGACACGAGTCTAATGGTAAAATCCCAATCAGAAGAATTAATTGTTCAAGATGTGTCACTTCAATCACTTCCACTTGCATGTGTCTTTGCTCTTGTGTCAAACTAACTCTTGATCACTTGTATTGAACGGTCCCCCATATATGTAGGTGCAATCACCCCAGGGCCGAGCAAAAATTTCCTTTCCACCGCAGGTGTTGGTGGTCGGCTTTGGAACCCGCCAGCCGTGGTACTTCCCGTGCTCCAAGCACTACTGGAACCCAAACCACAGCAGCATGTCCCAGGCACCTGGCAGCCGCAGCCATGGCACATGGCCTTTTTTTTGGGGACCTTTTTTTGATGGCCCATTTTGGATTCGCATTTTCAACCATGAACTATTAGGGATATCATGGGGATATCATGATTTCTTATCTTATCATCTCTTACCCTCTGGTAAACTAACATAACTATGGAAAATCACCATTTTGAATAGGAAAATCCACTATAAATGGTCATTTTCAATAGCTATGTTAAGTTACCAGAGGGTATCCAGTATCATAGAACCCTATGGGAGTGGTGCTATGGAAAACACTCCTCTGGTGGTCATTTGATAAAGGCTGTCTTGGTCGAAATGGCGGTCCAAGCTTGCATTGGTTCAGTCCCAATACTGGAGTACCAAAAAGCAATATCATGGCTTATCAGTTTATCATCATAGTTCTTTCATTTTTTCTAGTTACTCTCTTGTTGATTAGTTTGAAAAATGAAAAAAGCAAAACACAGGTACTATGCTCCATTCATTGATCATCCTTTTCCATTCATCATCATCATCATTGCCATTACGATCATCCAACATTTCAGGTTGGTAAACTATATATATATCCATATTGTACACATGACATGTTATATATATACATTATTATATTATTATAACATATATAATATATATATATGCATATTATTCCATCAATTATCATTAATCCATATTGATCCATCATTTTTCTGGCTTGGTATTCCTGTTTGGACAAATTGGACACAGATCGTTCGCAAGGATGATTTGCATGTCCTCGAGGACACTTTCGACGATCAGCAGCCCGGAAACCCCAGGCACCTTTCTGGATGGCTGTGCAGATTGTGTCCTTTCTGAGCATCATTGTATCGTTCTTACTTGCTGTTGAATTGGGAACAATAAGGAACTGAATCTTCATGAGGGTGATGGTTCTGACTTGCTATTTGTTGGCACTTCTTGTAGCGGCACGTGCAGTCTCTTCCTGCTGTTTTTCAGCTAGGTCTTTCGCTGCGAGTCCATCATTCCTCATTGGATACTATGTAGCTTCATTTTTCCCCTTACAATTGCCATTTCGGTGCGATAGCACTTTCTGTTCAAACCACATTTTGCCAGTATAGTTCTTCCATAAGGTGATATATAGTCATAGTGATATATATATATATACATGATAATGTGATTTTCCCCATCTTTTCCTCATCTTTTCCTCATTTTCGACTCGGCATTCTCCGGTGCCGAGTCGTGGCCTCCGTGGCCAGGTACGAGGCGGTGCCCGAGTCCATGGCTTCCACGCGCAGCGTCCTGGTGCGGGAGCTCTGCAAGGATTTCAACACGGCGGATGGCAAGATCTTGAAAGCAGCGCCTTGGGTATGGCCACGGTGGAGTAGAGATGGGGATGTGAAATATATAGTGTTACTGTATATTTATTATGTTATATATATATGATAAAATTACTGAGAGTTTGCTTTGATATGTTTTTTTTTTTCCCGGTTATATAGACTAGATCTGTCTAGATCTACCACTGTTGGTGTTTTATGCATATGGTTTTGATTGGGAATGCTAACGGTCGAGATGATGATGAATAAAGCAATCTATGTGGTGGCAGTTTTAACATGTTTTAACCGAGAAAGTTCCCAAGAAAATCAATCCATTGAATGGTGATTCTATATTAGTTATTCTTGTATATTCTTCTTGTAAATCACCGAAAAAAACCATCAAAAGATCCCTTCCATCGACATAACCCAGCAACTGCCAGGGTAACCCAGGGTAACCCAGCAACCCACCCAGGGTAACCATGGGTAACCCAGGTACAAGAGGTCACGCTGAATCTCTACAGCGGTCAGATCTTCTGCCTTTTGGGCCACAACGGAGCAGGTGGACCGATGGGTCCCGGTTCAGTCCATCCCATCAGGATGCCAGGCTGATGCCACCCCGAAGAAATGTTGGGTAGTTGTGAATAAATACGTTTTGTTGATAAATCATGGACAATCATGAATAATTAATTCTGAACCATACGAACAAATAATCATAAATCATCATCATGGATAATTGTGGAACATGTTGGATAATCACCACGTAAAATCATCATCCATGTACCCATGATATCATTCTTAGCAAAGGTCGTTGCTGGTTTTTGCTGCCAGGCAAGACGACCACCATCAACATGCTCAGCGGCATGCTGCCAGTTTCTTCAGGCGGAATCTATCCGAAAAACTGATTCATGAACAAATTTGATCAGTTTGATCTGGTTGATTGGTTGATACAGGGATTTTATACGTATAAACTACCTAAATATTAGCCTAAATCATAAATCATCCTAAATCGACCAAATTTCTTGGGGATTATCACCCAATCCAGATTGGGGTGTAGCCATCAACAATCGGGCCATGGGTGGGCTATTTCACCAAGCAACCAGCAAGATGGATGTCCCATGGCTGGGTTAAACCGATTCCCATGGGTGGTAGCCATGACGGAAGAGACCCCACAACTGGGTTTACTCATCTTGATTAATTAGTATCTTTGTGGCCAAAAGCCCACATGTCAGCTAAAATCAATTCAGTGGTGAAATCCCAATTGTCCAAATTTCAGTGCTGCAAAATCCTGTTCTTAGTTGAAACATGTTAAAACATGGTAAATCGTTCTTTTTGTACTTCAATATTCCATATATTCCATATAGTTCCATCAGTTAAATCCGAATCAAAATTGCCACGTCAAATTTTGGCTGCTCCGCCTGCTACAGGTGATGCCATTGTGTATGGCAAGTCCATCCGCAGGGACATGCAGCAGATCCGGACGCTGAGCGTTGGGAGAGTTTCACTGACCCATACACAATGGAACAAACATGAGTGCAACTGATCAGGGAAAATGATATGGAAAAAAAATGGGATCATGATTTGGGCTTTAGCCAATAAACAACGTGACTGCAAGTAGTATAAACACAATATTGATACTGTAATTGGGAACTTTACTAATCATTATTTTGAGGAATTTCGGAAGATGATGAATTGAACAGAAGAAGAGCCGTTGCCACATATTTTTGCCTAGTACGGATGTGATATTTTGTTTTTTAAAAGCATTCTGCTTGTAACAGTGGATAAACACTGAAATCTTGACAAGGCCAACGTCGCTGTTGTTTCACAAATAGCAAATCAAGATCGATCGATGCAGGTCTGAAGTGCATTGTCGACATCTCCGAAACTGAAGTCTGAATTAGACTGAATGGATCCATGGTGTATCTCAACGTATCTTTGTTTTGTGGAGGTAATGATTCATATCTGAGTTCTGGTTCTGGTTGAAGCACTGAGATCGATCAGGTTTTTCAGGGATGGAGTTGCACTAACTATAAACCGTATACTCTTTCAATGCTATTCAAAACCACAGCTAGATTGGAGGCAAAATACCCACGAATTGACCCCCCAAATCTATGTCGCCTATGTAACCTGGAACAGGGCGGTTCCGTCCAGGAAATTCCTGGGTGTTTGTCCCCAACATGACGTGATTTGGTCTGGCCTCACGGTGCGAGAACACTTGGAGTTCTTTGCGCAAGCGCCGCTTGTTTCTTTGTGATGTGAATATTGGGCGCTTGTGCCTTGGGAACGGAGAAGATGAGGATCTGATTTGGTATTTGTTTAAATCTTGTTTGGATATCTAAGCAGCAAAACAGGATATGATTTGATGATGATTTGATGTAATTCGCTAACCGATAAAAATGGGCAGTGAACAGCCCAGAAATCGTCCCAGTCAACGAGTTGTTGGGGCTGTTGACTGGGGAAAAACACCTGTTGATTGGTTGGAATAGTGACAGGCACAGTGACGCGTAGAAGCGACCGACGCCCCCAGTCCTCCTTAAACAGATGGAACGATCTGTGCAACTGGGTCAAATTCCAACCATTCAAAGCTAGGTGATCATAGATTTTTTCAGATCATTCACTTCCTTTCCTGTGAAAACAAACTCCCAGTTTAATGCTGTGATTGGGTGAAAACCACCAAAGATCTGGTGTGTTTCTGAAAAAACAACTGGTCACATCTTGGGGGTCTCCACCATGGAAATCACAGATCCGATCGGTCGCGAGGAAAGGGATGAATCGAGAAGCATTGGAAGCAGAGGCAACTCGCTGGGCCTTCGCTGGGAAGACTGTTTCCATGTTTGGGCAGCTGATTCTCCTGATTTTGTTCATAGTGTTTCCATGTGGCCAAACAAAAATCAGGATCCATGGCTTTTACACCCAATCTCTATATATAATATTATATATATAATATAATATAATATAATATAATATATTATATAATATAATTAAAATATACTATAATATATATTATAATATATATATATATGTTGCTTTGTGAATATATCCCCTAATTTGGGACAAACTGGATGCAGTCATGAGATCGCCGCACCTGCACATGATTGCACATGGCTGGCAGGTGAATGCCCTGATTGCAGACGTGAGTTTGCAGGAGAAGGAGTATCTCAGTTTGCAGAAATGGAAAATGGATGGAAAATGGAGTAACTGTTTGGGTGTTTGTTACTATGGAAAATTTGGATGGAATCCACATGGCACATAGAAATAGATGTCACTTTGGGACATTTTGGAGTTTGTTGAGTTTCAGTACTATCAGACAGTTGGGGTCCAGTTGCATAATGGGGCTACTATCCGCCCACAAGCTTTCATGAATGTTGTTCTTGGTGATCGTGGGATTGTAACTATAGTCCCAATTGCCGAAAAAAAACATGCTGGGCGGAAATCACCACTTTCGTTTGCGGCGGGAGTTTTGGGACCCTTATATAACCCTTATGCCAGTTGTGTTTATTCACCAGCTGCCGTTTTTCGAATTTTTCCTGGCAGCGATGGCGGACTTGCGGGGCATTATACTTCAGTGCTCCAGCAGCACACAGCCTGCAGACATCTTAAAAGATGCCGACCCGACACTGCTGGTGCCAGGCTTGCATGAGGGAGGAGCACCTCAACTCAAATTTGGGCATGTGTTTTTAACTGGAGGTTTCCTGCAATTGGGGTACCCCCGTATCATCCAGTTTAAAAAGGTGTTCCATTATAAACCATCCAGCTATTGGGGTATCCCCATTTATGGAAACCCCCAATTTGGCATTTCAAAAGCCACATTTTTAGATATGCGTGGATGAAATGTAGTCTTTCCAGCGCCTTTTTGTGGGCAGGGTCTATGTTAGATCGGTGATTGGGACTGGTTCTTCGGGAGATGCGACCCATGTTGTTTTTCCTGCGCAGGATTCCAGAGTACCCATCCAAAGCCACAACCAAAGTGACCGGTCATTATGAAGAGGAACTTCTTTTCTCGGACCTGTTTTCAATATGGTTAATGGTTCAAAATAGTGAATATTGGACTTGTGAGATTCCGTTGGTACCACATGATATCCCTAAAATTATTACTTTCTTCGAGTGATCCCCACCCTGGCACACTATATATATATATTCTGACATTCTATTTGACATTCTTTCTGGCATATACTCTGACATAATCCGACATTCTATCTGATATTATTCTTTCTGGCATATGTATCTGCCATATCTTCTGACATTCTTTCTGTCATTCTATCTGGTATATCTTCGGAGATTCTTTCTGGTCAAGGTCCGGCAGGGCCCACTCTGATCCTGAGCTTGCTGTTCGGGTCCGGTGGGGACGACTGCGATCACAAGCTTGCAGTTGAGGTCTGGCGGAGGAGGAGAAGGAGGCGGAGGACAGCTAGGACAGCTGACCTAAAATATCCTAAAATCAAACAATCCCTCACCTGACAAGTAGGCCCAGTAGGCAAAAAAAAAAATGGTCGCCATGTCGGCGGTTGAGGTGAAACTGGTGAATGTCTCCAGCCAGAAGCCAAGTGTCCACGATCACGATCCATTCCCTGAGAGTAGGGATGCGGAGAACGGGGAGGATGTGGAGCTCGATGAATTGATGGTTCGTGTCCCAAGTGGTAGTGTGGCTCGGCGCCGGAGTTGATAGGTTTGCTCTGCAAGAGGTTACTGTAGCAACGTTTGGAAATCATTCGGCTGTAATGTTAATTTGGTGAATTCCTAAGCTTGAATCTAGCAAAAACGGTTACAATATGCTACA